TCGTTAAATCCTGCCAGTTTGAATTGACGTGAGAACATGTTTAAATTGCTTATTTTTGTCGATTTTCTTTTCATCTCGTTTTATTTTTTTCTTTTTTTTTCTTTTTTTTTTTTTACATAAGCAATTGTAAGAAATATGTTCTGACAATTCGTTGACATCACTTGTGATTTAAGAATAAAATGTTTTTAATATGATATATCCCGTTTACATTTATCATATGTAATATTCTTTTGAATTTACAACTCGTTTCAATGCAATTACTTGTATATTTCTTTATTAATAAATAAAGAAATATATTATTACGACGTTGATGTTAACAATTTATCGATTATTTTATCTCGAAAGTATGTATAGAAAATAAAAAAGATAAAGGGACAAGAAAAAGAAAAAGGAAAAACATCTTACGAACGTCTTATAGTCTCACAACTACTATTCCCTTTCTGAAACTCGATCGAACGGTAAACAAAAAAAAGTGAACTTTGTGAAGGGCTAGGGACAAAAAAAGATAGGTATACAGATGGATATAGGGAATTTTCGTGAAATGGCTTTAAAGAAAAACGAAATAGTTTGGAGAGATTTTTCTTTCTTTATTCTTACATCATCAAAGAATATAGGTAATAGATTTTTTTGTTTGTATACATATTTCTTCCTTCTTTCGTCGAAATTGAATCGAAAGGTTTGAAACATTTGTTTGAACATTTTTCCCTACATCCCCGCCCCCCCCCTCATGTGCTTTTAGTCGTCTTCAAAATCTGTCGGAAATTCGGGATAAATCTTTCGTTTGTGTAGCAAAACTCGCACGTTTAAGAAAATAAAAGAAAAGAAAAGAAAATGAAATATCAAAGAGAAATCTTTTTGGGTGTGTTGATACAGTTGTTTGATCAACGTTTCGTATTCAAAATATTTGCCATGTTGTATTCTTCCTTTTATAACGTTTTACCATGCTTGTCGATTGACGATTTCGTATTTTTTTTTTTTTGAACCATTTTGAAACAGAGAGCAAGGGGATTTCCATTTTCGATCCTATTAACGTTGAAACTGTATAATAGAAAATTTAGCTTTGGTGTTTAACAAAGCTAAAGAATATGTGGCTTTTGAAGGGATAATGAAAAGGATAATTTTACCTAGCAAGTCAATGTTTAGATAGAACGAGCCTTTGAAGTTAGCGTGTTTATTAAAACTGTCCTCACTGTATTACGGCAAACTCTTGTAGAGTTTCCATTTTAAAAGTTTAACAAAAGGAACGAAAAAATATTATCGGTGAGATACAGAAAATGTGAACATTTTTTTTTCTTTGAAAATACTTATGTTAAATTGGTAAAAAGAAATATAAAAAAATAAGAATCAATTTCAAATTACAATTCGTTCAAATTGTTATTACAAAGTTATTACAATAACACGTAAAATAATTATTATGTTTGTAGATATGAAAAGAAATAAAAATATGTTATCTAGCTAAGAATAGGCTTAAAGAAAATTGGAAAAATACAATAATAATAATAATAATAATAATAATAATAATAATAATAATAATAATAATAAATAATTATAGATAATTTACGTTTAAAGGTATTGTATTTAATCGATCGTAAGTTGGGTTGTCCCAAGACGATCACGTGATAATATCGTTCTTGTATGTTTTGTTTTAGTATAACATATATTGTGAAAGTGAGTTTGACGTTTTACCAAGTTACAAATTCCCATTGGTTGTAGATACAAAACTAGCAAACGATTCGTTAATGCACAACCAAATTCGAGAAATAGAAATAAAATGGAGTAAAGCTTGGTAAGGGTCGTATTGTCTTCGTATTTTCATAGCGTTCTTGGGATTTTCTTTCCAAACGATATTCCCTTAATATGCGAATCCCCTTATACATATACAAATATATGTATTTGTCTTTTTATATATTCGAATAATTCCCCTTGCAATTTTAACGTTGGGTCGTTTAAGTGTTATCCTCTTTTCCTTGAGATTGTTCATGACCTTTCAACTTTTTATTCTTCCAAGAATACACGATTTTAATTGTGCTATAGTCAAAATAATATTTTCCAAATAAATATTTACGTTGTTAATATTTTTTTCTATACATTTTATCGATAACTTATCATCAATTTATTAATTGGTTTCGATTGTTTGGAAAGTATGAGGATTGTGATGAGTGGGCCAGGTGCGAATCAATTTGATTCATTTTTAAAGAGTTTATCTTTTTTTTATATAAACCTAATCTATATTTATTGTACATAAAAATACTTTCACGTTTCTATTTAATATACAAAGTATTGAAAAAATGCTTGATAATTATCAAATTCAAATATTATGGGAAAGGAATGTAATAAATTTAATAAAAAAAAAACTATGAAAAATGTATATTAAAAATAGAATATACAATTATTTTGAATAAAGTTTCTTTATATATATATATATATATATAGAATTTATGCAATATACAGGTACATACATACACAAACATTCAGCAATCTAGCGTTAAAATTATAATTGAAAATAGAATCATTTAATTAATATGTTCGAGTTGTATTTAAATGAAAACAATAGAACAATCGATATGAAGTATACACATACACATAGAAAAATATCGATTGGAATCGATCCATGTACATATTTCTATATATAATAATACTTTTGTTGTTGATGGATCGAAATACGTAAAACGACATTTGGAAAGTTTCTCTGATACCCCGTATATATGTTTGTGAACGAATGTCCATACAACACACACACACAAACGTAAGCGTACTCACGTATATGAGTAGTTAACGCCAAGTTATAATCGAGTTTTTTTCTTTTTTTTTATATATATATATATATTCGGCGGAGTATTTCATCTGATTGGCCTACTTCCGCATCATCTAATCCGAAGGTAGACCGGTTCTATTGATGATTCGTTGAATTCATTTGTGACTAATATTAATAACTATGGTTTATTTTGTTCCAATGTTAAAACGAGTATTACGAAAATAGAAATCGTGAAACATTTATTTTATTTTTATTAATAGCTAGTTTTTAAATACTTTTTTTCGTAGCTTGGATTGGTCAAAAAATAATTGATCAATAAATTGAAAATAAAATGTTTATTTAAATGATAGAATTATTTAAATATTTTCAGATAATTTGAAAATCATATTTTTTTTTTTTATAGCTACAATTATAATAAAATTGATTAAATGAATGGATTTGTTTGTAGTTCGGATTAATTGATCAACAAATCGAAAATAAAATGTTTATTTAAATGATAGAATTCGTATTGTCTCGTAGAATATTATTGAAAGAATATCTTGAATTAATTAATTTTTTTTTTTTGTTCAATTTGATCAATACACTAATTAGGATTAATGTAGACCCGATGAAGTGTAACGTGTTTCAAAGTTGCTGCTTTAAACTTGATATTAATTCAAAGTTCGATCGAATATTAATTAAGATGACGATAACGTGGTTTTCATTAAAACTGGTACTTGAGCTCTGCCCATCCTTCATCAAGAAATGCAAAAGCATCGTTACGAACTACTAGAAAATAAACTCGAGTATTATTCATCGAGGAAGATTTCTACAATTTTGATGCAAGTAAATCGAATCAAAACTGTTCTATAAGAGTGAAAAAACTTGTATTACGATTGTAACCATGACTTTTTAAACTTCGTTCAATTTTTTTCTTTAATAAAGTAGTTATTAATCATAAATTTATATTAAAAAGAAAGAAAAAAAATCTATGGTTTTTCATATATCTCGTAATGGATAAGGATAAAAAAAGAAAATAGGTTCGCGAATTACTTTGCTAAATAATAATGGAAATAATAAAAATATAGTAGGATATAGAATTTGATTTGATGGTAAACTTTATGCGTTAGCTGTTATTACGAGCGATGTACATGTATATAAACATGTAAGTTATGTGTGTGTGAAGGAGGGGTACTCAATAATCATGTCTTTTCCGTATCTATCGAATAACCCACATTTCGATCATAAAATCAGCAAAGCTTTAACAACGACATTTATTCACAAATGACAATTTGGTTTTGTCGTTTGAAAATTCCTTAAAATTACTTTGGTTAAATAAATGAAAAAAAAAAAAATCTTTTATCTGGAAATAATGAAATATGGAAGGAGTGATTGGGAATGGTAGAAAAGAAAAAAGTGAGGAGAAAAGATCGTAAGTTTATTCGAAAATGTTGTTGCGGGTATGGAGAAAGGAAATTACCGTTCATCCAATGGAATTGGTGAACGTGCGTACTTCATGCGGGGCTTGTGGGATTATATCCAACGTACCGAATGTCAGGGTAAATTGGGAAGGAAAATTGGATTTACATTTTTTCGGCAAACGATCGGTATACCCCGAGGGGTCTGCTGTTTGCATGGAGAAAAAGTAGGTGCCGGTAACGGTTTCGACCTAGTTTCTCATTTTTATCGTCTTTATATTCACTGTACCAACCGAATTAAGTATCATGATTTTCAAAGCCTCAAATCTCTCTTTGTCATTATCTTAATCTTCTTTTTTTTCCTTTTTTTTTCGAGGGTCTTCCAAAGGGAAGACACCTTTTTTTCAATTCCAGTGATTTCGCATAATTTCTAAGTTGCGATTCGAAGTAAAAAAGAAAGAAAAAGTGATAATATTTTATTGATTTTTTTTATTCACACCTCACTCTCCCATTCTTTTGACATTACGTTTATTTATTTATTTTTTTTTTTGTTAATAACGAAACTAATTTTTTGTGCGTAACACTCCCTAAACTTTCACCGTTACTGAAACGAGTTTTTGAAAATAAACTTCACAATATAAAAAGTAAGTCAATCATTATAACAGGACTTTCTTTTTTATCGTGTAAATAAGATCAACAAAGTAAACGTTTATTACGAAAAGAAGAAAAAGAAACATAAATGATGTATGTAATTATGTGTTTATCAAAATATTACAAAGTATACAGAGATAATAATATCCATCAAAAAATGATCTCTTTTTTGAAATTTATTATTTTATTTTCTCATTTTGATTGAATATAAATTTGATGGTAAAAATGAATGCGAATAATATTTATAATTTGAACATTATAGTTGATATTAAAAGTAGAATTGTTAAAAGATAATTATTATACTTCATAGATGCATTTGAATAAGTCGAATACAAAACTATCGAAGCTTTTGGTGGAACGTTCACAGAATGATCAGCCAGTGTTTTACTGAAAAAATAAATTAACCTTGTAATATTAAAAATATGAAGTAAAATAAAAAAAAAACTAAATGATTTATTTATCGTACATAATGTTTAGAATGCAATAAATATAACTTACTTGATTGGTACTTTTGAATCAACACTTGCTACTTTTACTATCGTTGAATTCAAAGATCTTTTTCCCGCGATTACTTTCAAATTGATTTTTTGCGATTTATCGTCCAAAAAATTGATAACAAGCGTCACCAATTGGTTTTTATTGGATCGTGTAATTGCTAAAAGATTTTTATCAATGACAGTACTTTGATACGATCCGTTTTTCATTACGTCTGTTGTATTACGTAAATTCATTAATGCGGTGTAAATCTTGTAATGGGATTCGTTGTCTTTATTAGTTTGTTGATCTTTCAAATTTAAATTTATGTAATTTTTATTAACAGGTAACCAAGTTTTTTGTCCTTTCGTGAATCCTGATAATAATTAATAGAACAATCTATAAATGATTTGAATTTTATGAAATAATACAATGAATCATTTCTCTTACCAGCATATAATGTTCTGTCCCATTGAAATGGGGTTCTATATGGATCACGTGATTTATTTCGAAAATTGTCTTCGCCTGCAGCACAAGCTTGTTTATCTTGCGTTTCTTTATACGTTATATCTTCATTATTAGTCATTCCAATTTCTTCCCCATAATAAGTTATGGCAACACCAGGTAAAACCATTGCTAACATGTTCATTTGATCGGCTCTACCTGGATAACGACTTGCCATACGACTGCGATCGTGATTACCCATCTACGATTAATTATTCAAATTTATAATTTAAGTAATAATCATGTGAGAGAAACAGAAAATAAATATCTTAACTTACCACCCAATTTGGTACACTTCCATCTGGCGTATTTGTTATCCAATCGTCTATCGTTTTTTTAAAATCGGTGGGACTCGATTTATTATTAACATCGGTAATAAATTTAAAATTGAAAGGTACGTGTGAACCGTACTTGTAAAATTTCGTAGTATTTTCTAACGACGTGTATGCTTCCGTCATTATTATCTATCAATTATTATTTAATTAATAATAAACAATATTAATTATTATTATTATTATTTTATATATATCCTTTTATAATTATGAATTTAAATTAAATAAAAATTATTAATTACATATATAATATACAATAATTATAATATATTATATAAATTAATAATATTTTTAATACAAAATATACCTTTTCTTCTTCGTTATGTCTATTTGCATACGAATCAACAATATTTCTCCAATTATGTATTAAAGTATAAGTTTCTTCTTGATCTTTGGTATAAATGTGTATTAAAGAATCGTACTCGTTTTTCGATGCATTACTTTTCTTGTTTGGTGGTTCGTTAAATTTGATATCACTTACTTCAAAAAGATGAGGTACAGCATCGATACGAAAACCATCAACACCTTTATTCAGCCAATATTCTATTATTTGCTATAAATTATTAAAATCGTCAGCACGATGATCGAATGATTTAAGAATTTCCTTATCTGTTATTACCATTTATAGATAATTACGTTACACGAATATTCTTGCACTTGCCTGCATTTCAAATACAACTTCAGGATTCCTATAATTTAAATCTGGTTGTTCTGGAAGAAATTGATGGAAATACCATGCCTTTCTTTTTTCGTTATATGTCCAAGATGAATTACCAAATACACTTAACCAATTATTCGGTGGTTTATCATTACTTCCATGTGCCCATATATAATAATCGCTATATTTTCCATCGCTGTTGACACTTTTGAGAAACCATTCGTGTTGATCTGACGTATGATTTGGAACTAAATCGAGAATAACCTGTGAATATAATAATTGATAATAATTATTATCATTTTCAAATGAAAACAAAAAATAGAATATTGAATTACCTTTAATCCGTGATGTTTAGCTCTTTTTATTAACTCGTTAAAATCTTCCATCGTACCATAATCTGGATGTATATCACGAAAATCAGAAATATCATATCCGCCATCTTTCATGGGACTTTTGTTAATTGGTGATAACCAAATTCCTGTAACGCCAGTTTCGACGAAGTATTCAAGTCTATTCGTTATTCCTGTGTGTATCATATAAATTAAAATAATACTTTGAACAGTTTAATTTATATTTTGTATTGGTAACGAAATTTGAATAGAAAAAAAAGTAAAAGAAAAAAGGAAGATAACAATTGTAAGAAATGAGTAAACATGACAACTGAGAAACAAAATGCAACAAATGCAAAAACTTCGTACGTGACTATTATTATTATAATAATTATTACAATTAATATAATTAATATAATTATTATAATTATTAGAGTCACGACGTTATTACTATCAAGATCGTAATTATGCGAGCGTGTAATTATTGCAATTCCAGTAAGCGTGCACTGTTGTTTTAACCGACTCGTATCTTGAAAATGATTAACATCGTTCAAACGATGGTAGATGAAAAGAAACAAATTATAAAAAAATATATCGGGTTGGTCACATTTAAAAAGAGTTTTCTTAGATATCGATTTGGAAAAAAAGAATGATTATAATTTGATTATGTTTACCGATTAGATCACCGATGCCATTTAGATCGCTATCTTTGAAACTTCGAGGATAAATTTGATAAAAGACAGCATTTTTCCACCATCCTTTGTTACGAATTTCAGCGATTGTTAATGACACAAACGTGAAACACAGTAAAATGAGTACGTACTGACGCGAATTTTTCATTTGGACGATTTGAAGGATGTTACAACACTGACACACACTCCAATTATAAAGAAGTTAAGATGCAACGCAAAGGAACGAGACAAAATGAAGGTGTCGTTCGAGTTTTGTGATTATCAGTACTGTCATGGAAATAGACGAGAAAAATGAATATATCTTTTCGTATCGCGAAATTACTGATAACGTTCGAATTCAACATTGGAAAATCGTAGCAACAAGTTTCTAATAACGTTTTATCTTTTATCTATTTATCTATTTATTTAAAATACTACTAAAGATGTCATCATTGCATTGGCAATTCGTATTTGAAAAATGCATTCGTAAGGAAAAATATTTTTCGATTATTTGTCAAATTGAAATGGTAAATGAAAAGTTAAAAATTGAAACAATTTATCTTGATAAAGAAAAAAAGAACAAGAATTATTTCATTTTTCATTGACGTATCGTGAGATGATAACAATAAATTGCTCGTTGATAATAATTTAAGTTAGAATGAGAGAAAAATATCGATATCGTGTTGCAGTGAGATATAAATGCATTGAGAATATTTTTTTATTTGTTTTCAAGTAATAAATTGAACGTGTTAAATATAATTGAAAAGTTTATATATAATTTATTAGTTATATTTGTTCTGTTTCTTAATGTTGAAAAAATACAATTGAAAATATATTAATTGATAGAAATTTTTAAATGTATATTGATTTCTATCGATCGAATTAAAAAAAACTTAGGTTTATAGATGGTAGAAAGTTGTCAGGTTTAATTGAAACGAACAAAGGATAATTATGTTTCCGTCTAGGTGTCAGAATGACATGACACGATGAGAAGAACCCGCTTTAGGATTTGCTAGCCGATTGTAATTGGCAACGAGATCGACATGGGCTTGTCGTTTCATCGATTCACTAATTCAAAACGCTTTGATTCATCATTGATCTTGATTTAACTGAAAGGTTTATACATTTGTAAAAGAAAGTATGAAAGGTTGGTAATAAAGTTTACTTACGAGAAGATATTAAAAATAAATGGATAGGGGATTGGTTGGATTCGATTTAAAATACACTTATTATGTGAATTAAATATTTTTTTTTATTTTATTTTTCTTTATTCATACTAAAATTAATATTATGTTATTATTTATTTCGAATGAATCTTTTCTAAGAAAATTTCAATCGAATTATTTTTCTATTATTTAAATTTATCATCTTTGGACTTCGTTTAAAATAGATTACAATCGTTTGATTTTGGTCACAATTTTTGTACTAAGTGGTTACTTTTAGAATTATTATTTAATCAATTAAATAATATCTTAATTAATATTCGCTGGTAAGAATTATAGCTGTTTGTGCAGGAACTTTCAAATTGTCGTTTTGTTCAACGGTAGCACTGTAAATGAAATAAAAGATTATATTATAGAATTATAATATTCACTTATGTTGAAAAATTCATTTCTATATGATAAAATAAATGAGTATAATAAATTGTATACGAATGTATCCATAAATTCATTTAATATCAACATGTACGATTCAACTTACCCAATAGTTACTCCGTCAGTTTCAGTAGCGTAATAAACTTTAAGTTTCTTTGGCACGTTATCAAAAATGTTCAAATCAACTTGTTCTTCTTCATCACCGAAATTTGCTACCACGTAAACAGACCCACCACTGTTTGTTTTTCTGTAATAATTAATGACATATATATATTTGATATTTTACATGCATTAAAAAAGAAGAATTGAAAGTTGAAAGTAAAAAATAGCAGGGGGGATAACGTGAAATATTAATCGTATGAACTACTTCAAAACTTTACCTTGTAAAGGCTAAAACATTCTTGTTCGGTACTTTTAGATTAAATTCGTCCTTCTCGGTAGAGAAATTTTTCTTAAAGTTCGATAGAGTAACTACCATAGTATAGAATGACTTTTTCGATAGTTTTTCATTGGCCAAATTTAATGTCAAATAATCACTGTTAACTGGTAACCAAGTGTTGGAAGTTGTTGAAAATCCTACATAACGTTACAATAATATTATTATAACACGATTAAATAATTAAAATTTCTTCGATGAACTCGTTCACACGGTTAGTTAATTTCTTCAATGAAAAATTGAAGGACTATTTTTAAAAATTAAATTTAAGTTGACAGAAAGTATTAGAAAATAATGGAAATGATTTTGTTAATTAACATTTCAGATTTCTTTAATAAATAAATAATTTTTTGATTACTTTTACTTAATATATAGAAAATAATGTTATAAAAAGATAATAAAATTGAAAACGTACCGGCCGCGGTACTATTGTCCCATTGGAATGGCGTCCTACCATAATCTCGGCTCTTAGAAAGGTAATTATCTCTGCCGGCATTACAGGCTTCGTTATCTTTTGTTTCTTCCCAAGAAAGTATAGTATCTTCCATACCTATTTCGTCGCCATTATAGACCACGGCAACACCAGGAAGACAGAATATCATGGCCATGATTATCCTTGCTCGTTTATTTCCAAAACGCGACACTAATCTGCGATTGTCGTGGTTTCCACTCTAAATGAAAAATAAAATTCACGTGCTTAATATTTTGCCTTTTTTAAAAATTTATTAGGTGTGTAAAACCTTTGAATTTTTTTTCTTTAGAATTCAAACGATCGTTCGTTCTGTTTATAAAAAGAAATCACGTACACGCGTTTATTAGAATTTCGAATAAAAAAAACTACGATTTTATATTTGTCGACGTGATAATTATTGCAATCGTGTCTATATAAAAAGAAAAAAAAATACAAGAAGTAAAAAAACAAGAAGTAAAAGAAAGGAAAAAACCAATGGTTAAACAATTCCAACAATGTCGGAATGATATTATGGATGTGATAAAAAAAGAAAGAAAAAAAACTTTCATAAAGTTTGAAATGGATTTATCACGTTGACGCGTGACTTACCACCCAATTGGCAACGCTTCCATCTGGCATACTCGATATCCATTCTTTCACGGATTTTGCCACGTCCGATGCAGTTGAATTTTTATTCAGTTTGTCGATAAAATTAAAATTAAAAGGAAAATATGCACCGTGTCTGTAATATTCGATGGTATAATCCATGCTCGCGTATGCTTCGATAATCAACACCTTTGGACAATTCTCTTTGACGGTATATTCATCCAATAAATCTCGCCAACTTTGAACTAACTCGTAGGTCTCTGGTTGATCTCTCGTATAAATTTTTTTCGTTGAATTATAAGCGTAAGGATTGTAAGTAGTACCGGTCAATGGTTCGTCCAAAAATTTTTGATTTTCATAATAATAAGGTGCAGCGTCCATTCTAAAACCATCCACACCGAGATCTAACCAAAATTTCAGTACATTCTGTAAAATATTCATTAGTTTATTAAAAATCTTTTAAACTAATTTTCTTTCATTAAATATATTTAATAATATTTAATAATTTCGCTGAATTGCTAAAAAAATGGTAAAAATACTATATCCTTATTGGTTGTATTAAAAATAATAATTGTGCGATTATGTGGATTCGATAATTCGAAATTCATCCTATTATTTAAAACATTTGTAATTATATATTCAAAATTTGAATAATTAATTACCTCCATTTCTTTTCTAAGTTCTGTACTGTTGTAATTTAATTCAATTTGGAATGTCGAGAATTGGTGAAAATAATATTCCTGTCTATTTTCATTCCAAATCCATCCTGGATCATTGTAAGTACTTATCTGTACACGTACAACAACAAATTATTTAGAATAGAACTAGCATTCAAATTATAGGGAAATGAAAATCATGAAATTGAAGATCATTCGATTACCCAGTTATTCGGATACGTTATGGTACCATTAGGAAGAACTCGTCCTTTTCTCCATACGTAAAAATTCGTATAAGGATCTATTTTTTCAATACTCCATTGGAACCATTTGTGTTTGTCCGATGTATGATTAGGAACGAAATCCACGATTAGTTTCATACCCTTTTCATGAGTTAGTTTAGTCAATTGTTGAAAATCTTGTAATGTACCAAATATTGGATCTACTTCAGTGAAATTACTGATATCGTAACCCATATCGAACATTGGACTTGTGTAGAATGGAGATAACCATATTGCATCTACTTTCAAATCTTTAAAGTAATCCAGTTTACTGATGATACCTGAGAGACAAATGTTATGAATCACAATCAATCAAATGTGTCGTTCAATTTACTACTTGATTGAAAAAATAAACCGCGACATTTTTATCGGCTTTAATTGAAATATATTTTCATGGATTCAAGGATATGTAGTTTATGCATAATCAAATATTTTATGCAAATTAAAATATCCTTTGAGAAAATATTTGTCGAATAAAAAATAATTAAACGTAGAACTAGAGGAAGATATTTCATTAATTATTTATAATATTTTTTGTACTTCAACTTACCTTGAATATCACCTACACCATCTCCATTGCTGTCCTTAAAACTTCTCGGATAAATTTGATAGAGCAGCATATTTTTCCACCATGTTGGATTGCAATCTAAGTTTTTACCGCTTACCACGATCAGTAATGCGGCGAATATAAACAACCCCTTCATTCTAAATATATATTTGTCAAATTTCTATTTAATTAAACAATTCGTGAATTTGTTTTTAAACACAACGTTTCAATTCACCCACGATGTATCTATTGAACAAAAATAAAACGATGCGTTCCTTATATAGTCATTTTATCGTATTACGAAAATTATAAATAATTCTGACTCGGTGAACTCACAACCTTGTTACATTCGTAAATTTTACAAGTGTATGTATGTATGTATATTCAAATGTAACAACTGATACTGTCACTAAACTGTCATAACAACAAGTTAAGTAGGAGGGCCGAATAACAGATGTCAGATAAGTTTATAAATGGTCTAGTAGTATAATAACGAGTAATTATTCAAAAAAAAAAGTGACAAATAAAAAATAACAAGTGTTATGAATGTTTGACGATAATAAAATATTTTCAAGCTGTGAGATATCATTGATCTGGAAAAAATGATTATGAATGTGTGCGGGTAGTTTGAGTATGTAATTTAATTCTAATCAAAATCAATGTTATTTGTTAATAAATTATATGATTTAATAATTTAGAATTTAGAACTTTATTTTTAATCCACGAAGAGAGAGGATGTGCTACGTTAAAATCTATAGAAATATGTCGCATTATTAATTTGTCCCATTTTTATTTTTTAATGAAATATTCAAAGACTTGGTAGATCTTTGATATTTAAATATCATTATCCCCGAAGCTTAAAGCTTCGAACAAAAATCTAATCGTGCGGTTTAATGGTATTATGTAGTATGCGAACGTATAAAATCTTCTATAATATGGGCTACCTTTGAAAGGACCCATATATAAGCTTATACAGTTAGCTGATGGTACTATGAATATCTATATTCTAAATATTCATGCATTGTATGGTCAAATTAAATGCCGTCTTTCACCCCAGAACCTTAGAAACCATTTTATTCTAATTCAAAATAAATGATTATTTTCGGAGTATTGCATTTTAAAATTAATCTTCATTTTCTAAAAGATACACAGGTAGATTTTGTTGTATTTGTGTGTCTTTGTATCGTGTAATATATGATAATAATCATAGTCAGTTCAACGTAGAGTAAAATAACGTATTGTATCAAACGTTTATTCATTCATAAGGGAAACAATTTCATTATATTTCGTTAACTTACCAATCTCCTTATACTTGATACCTGAATTATTATAGAAACTAGTTTAATTAAAATTAACAGAATCGAGTTATAGGTTTAAATGCTACGGTTAATTTTGAGATAACCAAAGGAATCTATAGAATGTTTAGAATATTTCGGTCAATCTATAAAATGTGCCTTAAAGTAAGTTATGTTTAAAGTATAAAAAGTTATATTATACATAGTTTATTATGTAATGTATTTTTGTTAAATTTATGAAATTTCTAATGTGCGTAAAGTTAAAATATATATGAATAATTGTATTGGTCAAATTTGTTTGTTAAATTGTTACAAATTTGACCTATTTATTCTAATTATCTTTTTTTTTAGTGATAACGATGATTGAGATAATAGTTTCTGTAATTTCCTGGTAACGTTGAAATTCCGATACCATTTTGGTATAACGTTCAAATAAGTTCCATCGGTTTTCATTCCGATAGTGTTACGTTGTAAACACAATGGGCTTTATTGACCAGTATGTATGGCATTGATCTCTCACAATATAACTCGCTTAGTACATGCAGCACGTGTATGATATGATCGTAATAGCAACAAAATGTAATATCCAATCAATACGATTTCAATAGTAGGTACTATTGTGTCTCTACATCGTCATGACACTTTGATTAATGCATTATTATAATCACATAACCAAATTTTTTCTATTCCAAATCTCTTAAATGAAAAATGATCTTTTATTAATCGTACGTCAATGAATAAAACTCAATATCCGTGGTTTCTCGTATTAGCTTAGATTATAATGATGCAATAAACTTATATAATATAATATATATAAAATGTTATGTGTAGGGTTGCGTCAGGGTTTGTTGCAGTAAATAGGAGATTTTGAACACACGCTAGTGCGTGTTATCGGTGAATTAATTAGAGACATTACTAGTAGGTACTAGAAAAATTAACACCGTCTTCATGGTGTCGGCCTATGAATGCAAAAGGGAAATATGCTTTGCACGCGATTCTTATTTTCTTTTTTTATTATACTATAAAGTACGATCGCGTGCATAGATAGTAGGGAGTACGGTGAACTAACGCGTATTACACATCCTCGATCGATCTTTTCTTCCCAGGTATTGTTTTATACCTGTGTATAATCTTTTACTAAAAAACCAAACAAATATTTTTAAATCGTTAAATTATTTTTTTCTTGTATTTTTATCGATAGATTATCGATATCTTTTCGTTAGTTACATATGTCGAAATTGTCTTTGCAATGATGAAAACTAACGGAAAAAGAGATAGAGAAAAATACCCAGATCGGATTACTATCAGTTATATTGCACGTCGTTATATCTCCAAATGTTCCATTTTTTTTTCTATTCGAATATCTATCGTCTGCGATTTAAAGAGATTTCCTGCAATGGATAGATCGTCGATATGATATTAGAAAGAAAAAAAAACCTGTGTTACCTGTAAATTGCATTTTTCTGTTGCTCTTAAGAAACATTGCAGTTAACATACGTTGTAAGATTTGCTTCTTTTTATTTTTTGTTTTTTGATAAACATCAATTTATTTTGTTCTTTTCTTCTAGGAAACATCTTTTCAATTTGAACAATTCAATTTGACGATTCTCATTAATTGAGAATCATTTCTCAATCATTCGATAGAGTGGTAAAGTAACATGAAGTGAGAGAGTATACAAGGAAGCTAATTTTCTCTCAACATAGTGCGTTCAATTGCCCTTCCTATTCTTTCCAAAGATGAACGGTTGCTCCTTTTACACGCGACACCGTGATTTATATCTGTAAAACGTTGAAACGAGGTAATGTCGTATAACGTATAACAGAAATAAAGGACACGTCGCCGGAAGGTTTATGGATCTGATATAATATTATTTCAATGCCATAACGTTGTTAGAATGACATATACTAACGTCGAGAACGTATTTTTTAAAATATGTTATTTACAAGTAACATCATTTTTTTTATGCTTAATTATTATGATAATCAAATGCACCATATTTTTCTTATTTAACTTATTAATGACACTGTATAGAAATTTATTTGTTTTTCATTCACATGAGCTTCAAAACACATTTTTTAAATACATCAAACTAAAACACGTATTACATATTGACGAAATCTTTCAACTATGCGAGCAATTAATTAGAATGAATATAATATAAGACATTTGATGTACGTATGTATATCACAAGATTGTCATTTTATCTCATGGGAAAAAGAATGATTTAAAATTCAGTAGATGGTATTCGCAGTGGAGCCATTAATTATAAGAAGAAAGACCCGTTTGAATCTTTGCCCTTCACTTTTGGTCGATGCTTCCTCAATCCCCGAGGCTCATTCTCTTCTTGCCACTTTTCGAAGTCATCTTATTCCCTTATACGAACGATAAATACAGCTATACTAGATTTATGTGATAACGTAAAATAGTAGATGGTAGGTTCGTAATAAAAATCTGATAGTCACAGTTTTACGTATCTTGATGAAAATGTTTAAAGATATACAAAGATATATCTCATCTAAAATCTTTATACTGCAAAATAACTTTCTGTCGATTCAAAGGATGATTGGAAAATATAAAACGATTGCTATATATGAAATGCAAAAATTTGGTGTAATCCTTCGTTAAAAACATTCGTAATTCAATTCCAATTTTATAAACGTCATAATTTTTTCTTTTCTTTTCGTAATTCAATTCGAATTGAATTCCTTCATTATTTTATTTTATCTCATTTTTTCTTCTTCTCTTTTTTTTTTTTTCAATATAATTTTGTTCTTATGAATAATTCAATTCCACGCATCGTGCCTCGTCAATCGTCTCTTTCAGCACCACCATATATGTATATTACATAGTTTCGCGAGAAATTAAATCGAGAATACGTAAATAATGCGTATATATATATATATATATATATATATATGTATGTATGTGTGTGTGTGTGTGTGTGTGTGTGTGTGTGTATGCAAGTGTGCATATAACGCGTACGTATGCACTTTATATTTATGTATTTTGCGTGACATTGCAAGTAAGACCGAAGGTCTCTTGTTTTTTAACGTTAATGCTCTTCTGCGGGCTAATGTAATCAAAGAAATCTCGTTTTTAAACTGCGAGGAGGTGGAGAAGGAGGAGGAGGAGGAGGAGGAGGAGGAGGAGGCTCGTGAGAAAATGCGAACAGCTCGTCTGTGTTTATCGTCACCCATCGTTTCGTGCTGCTTGTATGTACTCGTAAAAACGATCATTTCGAGAGTTACTAGCTGCTGCTGCTGCTGCAGCTTTATTTTTTTTCCTTCTTTTATATATATATTCGACATCGATGTCACACAACTCCGAGGCACACCCGAATGAATCGAAGTTCAAGAAAGTCTCCCGATTTTTCCTCCCGTATTTTCTTTTCTTACTATTTTTCTTACCTTTTTATTTTTTATTTTTTATAAAAGCAAAAAATCTCGTCGAGTCGTTGTATAAAAATGTTAGGATTTTTCTTGCTTTCTTTTTTATATTTTTTTTTTCCAGAACATTTTCAAAGTATCTATGGATATTCGAGTTCGTAGGTTCGAAGGGATAAAAGTACATTTTTTTATTTGGGAAAATTTGCCTTTCACGCTGACTTCATTACCCTTTTTACACTTTTATCAAGATAATTTTCAATTTAAAAGAGTTTCAATGACGATCTAATCGAATTTCTATTTTGAACGATTGAAATTAACTCATAGTAAAAATGTATTGTATTATTAAAGAGATCGTGCATGCATCTATGTGAATTTTTAATTTATGAATTAATAATACGATCAAATAATTTATTGATTAACATTTGATAATAATATATACGAACACTTGTACAATTAAATATCATCTTTATCGATTTTTTGTTTGGTTTTTAACGTACTTGTTTTTGTTGGATAATTAATACTACCGCGGATTTAAAGATTATTCATTTTTTTTTTTTTATGAACAAAAGTGAGAACGCAAACACCGTTCTATTGTTCATTAATCTTATTGTTGGGTCTTATACGTTTTTTTTTTCTTTTTTGCATAAAGGTTTTTACAAGAATTGCATATGCAAAAGATACATTGTTTATAGATTAATACAATTTTTTTCCTTATAATGTTTTCATTTCTACGAATATGCATATCGATGATATTGTGTTTTTGCACATATAATTGTGATTACCAGGAATTGAAAAACAATGAATTGCACGTGATTTGTAAAATTGATTATGTTACATTTCCTCTACATATATATATATATATACATCATAACTGAATTCATGTTAACAGTAAAATGTGCTTCTGATAATTGTGACGTACGTATGTTGTTGTTTCAATGTGCAACCGAGCATATATCAATGCTTGAATTTTACATAACATATTTCCAGTAATTAATATCATAAGACGTCGTTTCTCTTGTACGGTAACAAACGATATGAATGATTACATAATTTTATATCGATTTAACACTCTCGCGAGGGTGATAAGAATTTGATTAATGACCCATCGATTTTAACTTCGCAGAAAAATGCAATTAGAGTGTTGCGTAAAAGCATCCTCTTTAAAATGTGTTATCCTACGATCGATATTTTTAATGTACACTTTAATAGAAATGCATTATATTTATTATTAAATATTTAACGAGTGTGTCGTATTTCAATTTCGTATTAAATGATACAAATTCCCCAACGTTTACATTGGTAAATATCTGCCCGTTTAGATATTTCACTATTCGTTGCACTAATATTGCAATTGGTTAAATATCGGGGAAAAAAATTAAACGAATAGACATTTTAATATAATTGCAAGTTATTTAATATCTTGAAGAATATAAATAGTTGATTTTTATCTTCATTTTATTATTTTGAAATAAAAAAATAACAAAACGTTAATTACTTAATGCATAAATCAAATTATTATAGCATTAAATTACCGTTCATTAGAATGGTAAACTCATATTTGGATTTTATTTGTAAGTAATCAAAGAAAATATATTATAAATGAATAATTTATGAAGTTAGTGGGAATTACCGAGCAAGTGTGAAAAAAAAAAACCATTTCTCTTTCCGAGCTTAAAGGAATATTCAAGAATCGTAGATTACACTTAACGAACAAACTCCTAATAGTTCTTTTTTTTTCTTTTTTTTTTCTTTTTTTTTTCTTTTTCATAGTAGAAAGCTTAAAGTTTCTTTCCTACCTCTGAAATGATATATCATTCCAATCTGAAGATTTTACGAGTATGGTACATCTCGTTTTAGAAGAATCGATGCTTTCAATCATCGTCGATGTTTTTCTTCTCGTAAAGTTACGAACCAAGTGGTTTGTTTTTCTTTTTTTTGTTGGACAACATTAGTAATAATTATTATCTAATGGTCACTTCTTTATTTTCTCAATTTTAAGTTTATAATATTAATTTTATTTTAATCACTTTTTTAAACCATCGACAGTTGTTAGAAAAACTTTGTTTAATTATAAAAAACACGAGTACACACATACACTTTAAAATTATATATATTGTATCATCGTATACTAAGATAAAATAGAATTATCAGTTTGATAAATATTGTTTTTGTAATATATCTAATAAACTAATTAAAGATTATGAAATTTATCACGAGAAAAATAATTAACTTATATATTAATAATTAAATGCAATTACTCGCATATTGAATTTCGTCGATGTATTTTATTTCATATAGGTAGCAGTTGTAAGGTTCTATATCGAAGGAGTTTACAAATCGATAGCTATCATGCGGTGCTTTTACTGCAGTCGAATGACCCGTTGGTACTTTTATCGTTGAAGGTTTGATCGTTCAATTGATTATAGATAAATAGATCCATTAATATCTAGTATTTGAGAAATCAAAACACATGTGCATATAAATGAAAAAATCAAAGTTTCAAAGTTTGACAGACCAATATGTTTTAAATATTTTCCTCTACACATCTTAAATAAAAACAATCAACGTGTTAAAAAACAAAGTTTATAAATATTGAAGAAATAAAAAAATAAAAGAAAATCTCGCGATTTTGATTAGGGGAGTCAGGTTATTTATGTTGATCTAAAAAAAGAAGAAAAAAATTGTCGAAATACTTCTCGCTTAAATGAAATATATATAAAGATTGTACCGTATGTATGTAAAGAAGTGGAACGGAATGTAATTTATAAGTAAGGACAAATTCTTGTTGAAAATTGCAGTCGCATCTCCGCCTGATAGAAGGGTCACGAGAGACGACATGGGGGTGGCCTCGCACGGTGCAGCTTCGAACGCGAATGCGTCTACCGGTGGTTGTTCGAGTGGTACAACTCCACCACCACCACCGATACCACCGTCATCACGTCAACACAATCCTTCCTCCCCTGGTCGAAATGGTCAGCTGTCTAGTAAGTTTCCACGATATTATTACCAAGAGAATTCCACTTAGGATTTGTGTTGTTATCACAAATCGACAAGGATTACTCTTCTCTCTCTCTCTCACTCTTTTCTTTCAGTAGATAAATGATTGTGTTATAATACGATTCTTTTAACGTTCCAAGACTCGATATCTTCTTTAACTTTAGTTCTAGTAGTAACATCATTTTATATCAATTTTTATTTCATTCATTTTGCGGATTTTCATTTAATCCGTACAATTTTCCTTTACCCAAACAATTAATGGAGTGTTCAAGAGAGATGCAATATATTTATATATATATATATATATACCACTTATGTATTATTCCTATTGAGAATGATATACGTATATATAAAGTTTTATAGAACTCATATATGTTTTAATCCAGAGTTTGAGAGTGGTGAGGAGTAGGTAAAAGCTCTGTTATCGAACGATATCGTTCGTGTTTAATTTCAGAGCAAGGCACACTGACGATAGTACGACGCAGTTCGGGTAAAAGCAAAAGCCTCGGCGGTGGCAGTTTCGAGAGTTCACCGTCGTCGCATAATCCTGACAGGTTTTTGTCGAGTCAGTCCGTTGATCTCGACGAGATCCTCGATAATGTTGATCTCACGACAGATTCTCTACCAGCCATCGACACCCCCGACGCCTGCGACAAAGCTGCCCTCAGGTACGAAAACAAATAAAAAAAGAAATCAAAAAAAATTTTTTAAAAGTTCAAACGATTTTATCACATAGAAAAACTTTTTTTTTCAAATGCGTGATAATACTTTGTGACTTTGTGACAATATGACTGTCATATTATTTATTATTCGTTTTCATTCCTTGTATTTTTTTTTTTTTTTACAGGCTTCGTTGTCTGTTGAGGCAGCTTCAACACGGCGAAATATCAGCCGAGTTGCTTCAAAGAAATTTACAATACGCTGCACGCGTATTAGAAGCAGTCTTCATCGACGAGACAAAGTAAGTTGCATTTGTATAATGCTATTATATCTCTTTCTATATATATATATATATTTTTTTTTTCCACTTTGCCTAACGAACTATAAAACGACGTTCTTACGTATATCGTCCTATGTGTCTCTTTTGAAATATACGAAAGTTTTGCAAAACGCACGAGAGTTTTTTATCACACTGTTTTACTACAATGATATATATTTTTTTTTTGTTTATCCTCAGAGTACAGAAAAAAAAAAGATTTTTCTTTTATTTTTAATGAAATTGTACGAATTATTATATAGAAAAAAATGAGTTTGAAAAGAATTCTTTGAATCACTTGGGTTTACTTCACAGTTTATTGATTTTCCTTGTCTCGTGCGAGCGAATCTAAATATGTGGATAAAAATACAGGATTAAAGTTTTAATTAATGTTTTTAATAAAAAAAAAAAAAAAAAAGAAAATACGATTTTTTCGTGATGCTTTTCTATTGGATTTAACTCACGATCCCATAAAAACAATTAAAAAAATTAGAGAAATATTTAGGATGAAAGTTCTCGAGGATCGATCGATACACGCATTCGATTTGAAAATGGTAGTTTTGTATTGATCGAATTTATTTAAATAAAAATTTATTGTTCTTCAATTTTTCCACGTAGATCTGGTAATGGTTAGAAAGACTTTATAAGAGTGCCTCTTTAGCTCAGTGGTAGAGCACTGGTCTCGTAAACCAGGGGTCGTGAGTTCAATCCTCACAGGAGGCAATGCGAAATTTTTTCCTTCTTCGCTTTTACTTTTTTCTTATTATTGTTAATTCTATTTTTAATGCTAAAGTATTATTTATTAATTATTATTCATATTATACTTATATACTACTATTACTTTTTAAAATTTATTAAACTTTTTTAAGATTGATTTTAATTATTATTTTATTATTATACATATACATACAGATACCGTATTTTATACAGAGGGACACATAATAATTGACACACATGGAATTAATAAATAAAAATCGTTTTAATATTTGATCATCAAACAATTCGCGTTCGGCTAATAATTTTTATTAACGCTTTTCCTGTGTATCCGATGTGACACCGTTTTACACACATATATTTGAAAACCGTGTGAGATAATTTTGCTCACTCGAAAGCATGTAACATTAAGTTTGATAACTCGTAGTATTATTTTACCCAAGTAGACACTTTAGGCGTATTATTGACACCCGATTAGAAAAACTGGATCCCCATTGTCCCGAGAATAAAAAAAAAATGAATAATTTCAATTGATTAGAAAAGTATTAAAGTGATATTAAATTTCGGATTATTATTATTATTATTATTATTATTATTATTATTATTATTATCATTATTATTATCTGTTACCCTTAATGCCTATTGGATATAAGAAACAAGTAGTTTAATGTTTCCTTATCGACATTTAATTTATAATATTTTCTATTAATTTTTATTCGGTCATACAAAGAAAAAAAAAAAAAAGAAAAAAAGAAATGATACGAGAACGAGGTATAATAAAAAAAGAAATGTCAAAGATTTTTAACTAAAACGGAAGTGTTCTTCCATCACACAACGCTCTTTCTACTCTCATGGCTGCTACTACACTTACATTCTTTTCGATTTCCCGTAAAAGCATTTTCCAGGTTACCTTCTTCGAGGATGGTGAACTTGGCTGCTACTTCAAAGACCAACCAAATTTTCATCTCATAGTTTACTTTGTAATGTCTCTTTTAAGTCATAAAGCAGCGGGGAGCACAAAAAATTGACTTTACGTATTTTTAAAAATGCTTTTTCAAAAATGGGAGATGATATAATACGATAAAATAAGAAGCAAAACGCGATAAAAAAAATGGGAAAAAGGAAAAGGGGATATTGAAAAAGGAGAAAGAGAAAAAGAGCAATGTAGGATAGGAAAAAAGAAAGAAAAAAAAAAAGAAAAAAGGGCAGATAGAGAAAAAAAGAAAAAGAAAAAGTGTAATCTATGACTATTTTATTCTTTTCTATATATGATGAACTAACGAGCACTACCGCAGGGTGAGTTCAGGCGGGAATGAGTGCTCTCGGTCATCACGTAGGGGTCCGGTTCTGACTTCTACATCCCTGGGGGGCAGCATGGACCCGGATGGACCACAGAGCCATGCAGTGGTAACCCAGAAAAGGAAGCTTCGCACCCCTGTCTGGGAAAGGTTGCGAAACATTCACATTTCCTAGCCCCCAAAAAACAAAACAACAACAAAAAAACACACGAATCATCATTTCTCCTCACTTTCGAAGATTCTCTTCAATAAACCCACCCCTTATCTCCAGTCTCACCCCCAACCCCGTCGATGCCTGTTCTGATTCCTTCGCCGATGTTCGTAGTGGGTTATCGCATACACAGTGTTCTTGACCATGATGCATTTGTATGCTAGAACGCTGCCAATGATCACCATCTCCTTTTACAACCCAAACCCATCACCCCCATAAGGGTCGAGCGATTGACTCCGCACGTATTTAATATCCCCCCACCTTTCACTAACCTTCTAACTACAGGTAACCCTCCTATAACACGGTAGATAAGTTCTTAGAAAATGCCGTGTTGTGTGAAACTGTGTTGTATGAGACTTTTGTTTTCAGGCCATGGAGATGAAAAGAAATATTTTCCGCAACACTGTATCTTTAAGCCTTGTCGCGGCTGTAGAAGTACAGTGTTGTACAAAGGTATTTTGAAAGGAAACAGTGTTATAGGATGCCATGTTGTAGGAAGGTTCTCGAATTTATGAATCGTGTTATAAGATCCCGTGTTGTGGAAGGGCTACCTGCACTGTATCTTTAAAACTGTCTTTCAATCGATTACTACGTTTCTTCTTTTTATTTTTCCTTTACGTACATTTGGAATTCCGTTTGTGGTATAAATGATTTTGTACGAATCGACGTCACATCGCTCTTCCCTTATCTGATATACCATCACAGTGTACTGACTTATGACGCGGTATGATAAATACGAAAAAGAAAAAAAAATCTTAATCTTAACTCACACACATATACTCCTTTTTCTTTTCTTTTTCTCTAGCGTATCTCTCTACCTCTAGGGAATATAGATCCCCATATTTAAATAGTCGATTTCAAGAGAGAGCTTTTTTATCTCTTTATTTTTTTTTTTTTTTTTAAAGCTTAGGGGATAATATGATCGATGGCGATCGTGTAACTTTTTTTTCTTTTTCTTCTTCTTTTCTAGCGAGTAAGACAAACTATGCTTAGTTTCATCTAACATTAGTTGTATCGTTAGGATTTTTATATTATAAAATAACACTTTGCAATGTTCATAGTCATTTTTTTTTCTTTTTGCAAATGCATTGTAATTTTGTTTATAAAATTATTATAGATTGGTCATACTTGTTTAGAATAAAACGATGGTACGGTTTAATCTAAAGGGAAGACGTGTGTATAATAAAATATTTTGAATTAGGTATTTGTAAAAAGTTAGAAGAATAACTGGGAATCACGTGAGACACTTGAAACACAGCATGAAGATGTTGATTCCAAGCTGCCTGTAAGCCTTTGTAATATTTCACCCTATTTATCTATCTTTCTGTCTTTTTTTAGTTTCATCCCTTTTTTTCCTTCGTTCGGCCCGTTTATACAATAGATTCTTTTTAGGTGTAATATCTTCGCAGTTACTGGATACCTGCCTGCTACAAGTTGCATCGTTAATTATATATACATATATATATTGTTAATAATTATTAATGTATGTATTATGTCTTCTGTCTCCTCTAAGTTCAAGAGAGTGCATGTATACATACACACACACATAGGGCGTTTTTAAAAGTTATTAACTATTCGTTGTACACGTGCTTCAAATTTTAAACGAATTCAGAAAAAAAAAGGAATCAAACGGGATCAAACGTTTCCCGTTATCAAATCGGTTAAATTGTCAAACGGGGGTGACTCGAAAGTTCGTCAATGTCAAAAAAAAAGTAACAGAAATAAAAAGTAGAATTGAAGTTATTACGTCCGTCGTAAAAGAAATTTATGTGAATTTTTTCGTCACTCCTTTCTCGTGGTCGAACGGAGACGTTTGTTTGGTTTTTTTGGTTTTTTTTTTTTTGGACAACGGATAGATCGATGTAAAAAGAAAAAGAAAGAAGAAAACCCTCAATGTTACATGTCTTTTCTTTGATGTTTTACATTGTAGAGATGCCGACCAAACGGAATCAGCTGCTACTTGCCGACAAGGTGTACGTCGTAGGTTTGTGCAAAAAGTTTGACTACAACCAACAAAAAAAAAACCTATCACGATATTGTTCACCGTTTATTACCTGTTATTATTATTAAATATTTATTAAATAATATTTTCTTCTTCCTGTCACTATATAACACACATACACGAAAAGTATTTTATTTTGCATGACATTTTTCTATATTTTCATCATGATGACATTTTCCAAAAACTGATCTTTAGCTTTTAGAATTGAAATCTAATTCATTTCAGCTATCATCCTAATTTTCTAGATGTACGTACGTTGATAATTAGAAAATTATGTTTCATTTCTTCTTTTTCCATGTAACTATGTAACTCGTGTTAAACGTTTCAACTAATTGAAAAAAAAATGAAATAAAACATCTTAACTTCTTTTCTAACAAGTTACCAATAAAATTATTTTATCTTTTATAAACTTTGAAGAATTAATACATATATATTCAATTATTACGTACTTACGTCGTAAATAACATTAGTCGTAGGTTATAATTTTCATTGGTTGCCTGCATTCCTTGTATAGTTATACAATCACTATACGCAAATCGTCGTTGTTAATAACAAAAATGTTTTTCAGGATTATTATCGAAAATGTTTTTACGACTCGTGAATAAAAGTAGGTCGACGATCTTTAAAATCATATAACCAACAGCTGATATATCGTTTATATATATTTTTTTTTGGGAGGGAAGTTTATAAATCGTATTGTAAAATCCTATCGTATATTCGTTTGCTATTGGTAGATAAAATAAAAATGAATCTGTTGTTAATCGTCAACATTTCATTCGTAAAGAGATATTTTTTCATTAAAATAATGTGTTTTCGCGATATATGAAACGACGTCTCGTTCTTATTGTTAAATTCATGTTGATTATTATTGTTTAAAATATACATAAAGAGAGTCGAGTTTTACGATTTAATCAGGGAAAAAGAAACAAACGAAAAATAGGGTATAAAAATATATGTATATTTCGTAAAATGCAAATTATTTTGGAAAAATAATAAAAAAAAAAGAAGAAAAAAAAAGGATAATCTGTAACTCGATTAAATGCATTTTCCAGTTACACTGTCATTCTCTTTCGATATCACGTATTCGTAAATACAAACGTGTATGTATACTACACGCGTTTGTGCGTGTAGAAAATACCTAAATTCGTGTATTCCTCTCGCGTTGGTTTATTCGTACGATATGTCACCAGATGCGAATTCTCGTCGATTCATTACGCGTACGTTCAGAGAGAAGACGTGTGTACCACGTTGAACAACTTTTCAAGAGAGGGTGGATTGCTTTGATCTAAAATTTGATCTAAATTTCAGTAGACGTGAATTATAAAATCGTGATCGGGTTAAATGAGATTATATTTTCAACAGTTTACAAGTGTATTTCGAGCAAAATGATGATTTTTAGCTTCTTCTATTTTTTAATTTTTTTTTTTTACTTTTTTTAAATAATAATCGTAAAAGAAGGTAGGATTTTTCCGAAATGTTTCGATTATTGATAAATATCGAAAGATCGTTAATATTAGATTCGTATGATTTTCCTATAGACGATTGGCAGATGAAGATGACGAACTGTCAGAAGTACAACCTGATGCAGTACCACCCGAAGTTCGAGAATGGTTAGCTTCGACTTTTACCAGACAGCTGGCAACGACGAGACGGAAGGCAGACGAAAAACCAAAATTTCGATCTGTCGCTCATGCCATCAGAGCTGGAATATTTGTTGATCGGATTTATAGGAGAGTAACCAATACCGCTCTGATGCAATTTCCGCCAGATGTTGTTAAAGTACTCAAGGTATGTTTGATTTTTTTTCATTCTTAACACGAATGCACAATTATTTTTCTTTGATATTTCATATTAAATCCCTATCACTTTGTCACGTGAAAGGTGACAAGATGAAATATACAGGGGGGGGGGAGAGACATGATTTTATTTAAATTAAACATCCGTAATAAATCAATTGACATCACCTTTTTCTAATCAATTTTTATATTTTTATATTAATTGATGATGGAACTCAAAGAAATTTAGTTTAATTTGTGTTGGTTGTAATTGCTTGACGACTTTTGAATTGCAGTTATTTTAATTAGACAGATCTAGCCTTTAGTTATATACCTTTAAAGCAAGTATTTTAGCAAAAAAAGAACTTTTTCTCTTTCTCTCTAAGAAATCTTAATGAATGTTAATTCAAGACGTTGGACGACTGGTCTTTCGACGTGTTTTCATTGAGCGAAGCTGCACTAGGAGCTCCCGTTAAATACATAGGATACGATCTACTGAATCGTTACGGCATGTTACATAAGTTCAAAGTACCACCCGCGGTTCTGGAATGTTTCTTAGGAAGAATCGAAGAAGGATATTGTAGACATCGGAATCCATATCATAATAATCTTCATGCCGCTGACGTAGCTCAAACTATGCATTACATTTTGTGCCAAACGGGGCTAATGGTAAGTTAACAATTTTAAACATTAACGTGTGTTCATTTTCAGATCAACACGTTTAAAATTTTAAATTATAGAAAGTCATGATATACTTTAAAAAACAAGTACTTAAAGATATTTTTTAGCCATAATTTTTTGGGATTATCATTTTTGAGGTTCTTAAAGGGACCATTTAAAACAATAAACAAATAATTTTGAGATCAATGCGTTTAAAGTTTTAAATTATAGAAAGTCATGATATACTTTAAAAAACAAGTACTTAAAGATATTTTTTAGTAATAATCTTTCGGGATATCATTTTTGAGGTTCCTAGAGGGACCATCTAAAATAATAAACAAATAAAACTTGGATTTTTTGAAAATTCTTTAGTGGTTTTATCTTTTGAAGTTACTTTTCCTAGTTGAAAGTTAAATAATCTTGTAGTTTGACGAGAGAATATTACTTTTTGCAGAATTGGCTGACCGATTTAGAAATATTCTCATCTCTCGTAGCGGCGATTATTCACGACTACGAGCACACCGGGACCACGAACAATTTTCACGTAATGTCTGGCAGTGATACGGCTCTTCTTTATAACGACCGTGCCGTGTTAGAAAATCACCATACATCAGCGAGTTTCAGGTATACAACATTTGCAATTTCGTATCAAAGTTTTGTCACGTATATAACGTTTAGATTTGAACTAAAGAAAATTGGAGAAATAAAGGAAGGATATATATTATTTTTTCTTTTTTTTTTTTTGCAGAATATTAAGGGAAGACGAGTGTAATATTTTGCAAAATTTGTCGCGAGAAGAATACAGAGAATTTCGTTCTCTCGTGATCGACATGGTATTGGCCACCGACATGAGTTATCATTTTCAACAGCTGAAAAATATGAAAAATCTCTTAAGCTTGGCAGAACCTAGCGTTGACAAAAGCAAAGCTGTCAGTCTTGTGCTACACTGTTGCGATATTTCTCATCCAGCGAAAAGATGGGATCTTCATCATAGGTTAGATCATTTTATTTATTTATATCGTAACATTTTCTGTCGAATAATTCACTGGTAATCGAAATAATTTCTCTTTCACGAATTGTGTGCATATGTACATATGTGTGTCTGCAGGTGGACGACGCAGCTGTTGGAAGAGTTTTTCAGGCAAGGAGACAAAGAGAGAGAACTTGGCTTGCCGTTTTCACCATTATGTGATCGAAATAATACATTGGTAGCTGAATCTCAAATCGGTTTTATAGAATTTATCGTTGAACCGAGTATGCAAGTGTGCAGCGACATGTTGGAGACAGTTCTTGCACCTTTGAACGTTAAAGAAAGCGTAGATGAATCTGCTAATGGTAAGCATTTTTCAATAATTTCAATAATTATAATTGTCATTATTATTTATTTTGATTTGTACCTGTGGCGGAGTTACAAAAAATTCATCGATAACGTTGTTGTATTCGTAGGTTCAACGCCGGAAAGTAATAGGTTTAAAATAGGCAAACCATGGATACAATGTTTGGCAGAGAACAAACAAATTTGGAAGGAACAAGCAGTTCGTGGTACGTCATTTATAAATAATTGTAATAAAATTGAAAAAATAAAAAATATATTGAAATGGTTCAATCAAAGGAATCGTCATATTTCCTTTACGAACAAACTTTTATGTTTCAAACATAATTTAAATTCTATTTTATTAACCTTTCATAAAAATATTCTCTTTGGAGAACCATCGAACGATAGTTCGAGTTTCCAAGTGCATATTCATTCGACCAATATTCATTTACGCGATAGATTTTTCTTTTAAAATAAATATATTTAGTTTTCATTTTTATATGAAATATTAATTTTGTTTAACAATTTCCAGCCATTTTCACGACTGGAGTATCAATTTGTTTTTTTTTTTTATCAAATCACTTTGTGTTCTATCTCATCGTGTTGTTCCTTTTCGTTTTATTTTTTTTTTTTTAAATGTAAATACTTTGATCGTTCGTGTATTTCTACAGATGCAGAAATTAGAGCACAAAAGGAAGCTGAACAGAATTCTAATGCCGAAGGGGAAGGGGAAAACGTTCAAACGACCGCCGAAGAGTGAAAAATGTGATTCGATGATTGGATTGGAAGCTTAATAATTTCAAATACCAAATATCTTCTGTGCGATTTTAGGCTACAACAACAAACGAGATTATATTCTCAAAGAAAAAATACCAAAAAGGATGAAAATAAGAAAAACAAGAGAAAAGAACCAAGAAAAAAAAAACTACTCGCGTTTAAGCCGAACCTTCGAAATATTTTTTTTTCTTCGTCTCAACACCTTTCCATTTATGAATAGAAATTTACAAAAAAAAAAAGTAATGAAATTTCACCGTGAATGCAAAAGTAGATATTTAATTAGCAAAAAAAAAAAACAAATCGTGTATGCTACTTATGTAAATGATGATTGTAGCTCTCTCTTTCTCTCTTTCTATATCTTTCTTTCTCTACCTATACACAAATACCTCGATTCTAGTTTTCGTGCAACGACACACAAATTCTCTAAAAACTTTCGAAAAAAAAAAAAAAAACTAACCGAGAACCGTGGAGTTTATTTCAAAGAAAAACGTTGTGTTTATTCTGCCAACTAGAAAGAGAATAATCGATTTTTATTTCACACCTTTTTCTATGAAAGACCTGGTTTGTTGCTGCGTTAGGTTTATTTCTTTTTTCAATTCTCTCTCTCTCTCTTTCTCTCGAAAATCTTTAATATTTTTACGGTCACGTTTGAAAAAAAGTTCTAGTATCGTAGCCTAAAACGATAGATGACAAGACGCGTTATACAAAGTTAGACGATAAAACAACGTATATCTTGTTCATAAAAAAAGAACAAAAAAAAAATAGAAAAGGAAATAGTATCTGATAAAATTGTTAGATCATAGTATGATGAAAACTATGCTAAATTTATTCTTACATCGTCAATGCTATTTCTATTCGTCTTTTTCTTCTTTTTTCTTTTTATCTAACGTTAGAAATGCATAGAAATGCATAGAAATGCATAGAAATGCCCATGTACGTTCTTCGTAGATTAACAGATAAAATTTCAAAATATTCTAATCTCAACGAATACTTAGAGAACAGAATTGTTTAAAATAATATTCGAAACGCATCGATTAAATCATTACATTTGAAATTATTTAAATAAATAAGAAAATAAGATTGAACGATAACGAGGATGCAAAAGAAAAGAAAAAAATACGAAAGGGAAAAATAATAAATCAAATGAATAATTTTATCAAACTTCAGATAAAATATCTGAATGGGTTTAATCGTTGTTTATGTTTTTTTTTGTTTTTAATTTTATTTTATTATTTTTAATTCTTCTCTTCTCGTAATTGCACGAACGACGTTATTCGATGATGGGGATTCTTGTAAATATGCTTCAACGAAACGCACATTAAAACTTATTTTTCTACTTTCACATTTACCATGACGAATAAAGTTAAAGGATGGAAGTTACAAGCAAAAAAATCGAACACGTACGTGTAAATATTAAACGCGTACTATTATTTAATGAAATAGTTCTATTAAAAGATATTTTAATATTAAATTCTTACTGAAGAAACATTTTTGTAGGAATAAATATATTTTTTGGGTTCGATTATTACGCACAAGCAAATAGCAAGTATTACTATCTATCTATCCGTTCCTTTTCGAATAAAACATCTCTTTCGTTTGAAGAGAAGATGGAAATAGACGAAAGTAAGAAGATAAATCCCCGTGTCGTACTTTGGAAAAAGGGTCTCGAACGTTAAACGGATTTATGGGATTTTATGGAGATTTTTTTGCAAGATGAAAGTATATGCCTGCATTATCTCTCTCTCTCTCTCTCTCTCTCCCTCCTTCTCTCTCTCACATTCTTTGAATCGATCGATCTATCGAAAAGGTTGGGGGTGGGTGGAAGAGGAAAAGAAAGAGAAGGTTCATACGATTTTACTTGTAAAGCCTTAACCAATTAGAATTCTCGAAAGTATAATAATTAATAGACATAAATAAGACATCTTATTTACTTACATATATATATATATATATATATATATATAGTCACGTGATAGATACACACAGTTATCTATTCATGAAAGCGTCGAGGTTGAGCTTTAATCGATGTATAATTAATGTAAAAGATTTCAATTAGTGTCTCGTTAGTGTTTATTTAAATATGTATGTGTGTGAATGTGTGCGTGTAAATGCTATGTCAATGTATATGTCAAAAAAAATATATATATATATGTGAGTCGGATTGAGAGCCAATGTATGATGTGGGTGGTACACGTTTTCGCGTATGATGAGCTCCCAATGATCGTTTTATTTGTCCGACAATGATGATGATGATGATGATGATGATGAAAAAGAATACTCGTTAGAAGGATACCAAGTTTTACCTGTGAGGTCTGCGGTAATTTACAATATATATCTTTGGCAGCCATTAGGAATTTATCTTTCAATTATGCAACTCTTTTAGATCACGTAACTAAACGTATCCGCAAGTATTTATTCGCGGTAACGTAACTACTGCTACTACTACTATTACTAAAACCTAATCGTCATAGATGATGATGATGATGATGATGACGATGCTTAGTTGGAGAATAATTACAGTTCTCTTTGTATATATTATATAAAAATGTAGAGACGTTATTATCATTTTATCAAGTGTTATAATCGAAAAATATCTTTCGAGAAATACACACATACATAGAGAGAGTGAGAGAGAGAGAGAGAGAGAGAGAGAGGAAAAAAGGACCAAGAAAAAGCTAAGAGGTAAACGTATCTTTTTACGTATCTGTCGTCGTTTTTGTCGTAGTAGTAGTAGTAATATTAGTAGTAGTAAATAGTAGTAGTAGTAGTAGTAGTAGTAGTAGTAGTAATGCACTTACACTCTCGCGGTACATCTAACAAAAGTTTCTAAATAAAGTATAAAACACGTTTCAAGTCGTTTACTTAGAAACATACGTACGAACAAAAAGAAAAGAATAAAAAGAAAAGAAAAGAAAAGAAAAGAAAAGAAAAGAAAAGAAAAGAAAAGGAAAAACTAAGAAGAAAATAAAAAGGTGTAGTTTAATACATTTTGAACATCTTCGTCGAGTGAGAGTGCATGAGGGAGGAGGGTGGTGCAAACTATTCTGTAAGAGAAAATAATATAATAATACTTTATAGTTGAAACACGTTCAAACACATATCCGTCCTTATTTAATTTTTATTGTGTTTTTTTTTTTTTTAATTTTATTCTATCGTTAGTTAGTTAGTGTGTCATTTGTCGTTTTAATAAACAGCATGATACAAAGGTGAGAAGGTATCTACGTTTCATGTGTGTATCTCTCTCTCTCTCTCTCTCTCTCTCTCTCTCATTTTTGAAACGGGGTAAAGTATATACTTAGATTAATGTATATAGAAAACATTCTGCGCGTAAACTTATTTATTTTTAATAGCTGGCACACAACTAAATACTACTACTCTTTTATAAATGAATGTTGCAAATTGAAAGTAGCGCACTTTAATAAATCGCTCGCACACAACACTACTATTACTACTCACCTCAAGAAACAACACCGTTCCTTTGAATAAACGTCAATTTATCAATTTCATTTATTCGAAGTTGGACGACACAACGTACGATTTACGTTCTCTCGATTTTAAAACGTTTTTATTACAATATATATATGTGTGTGTGTGCCTGTGTGTGCGTATAGGAGTTGTGTACTCTAGTTACTATTTATAAACAGAGAGGAAAGAACAAAATAATAATAAAGAAGAAGGAATATATATAGATATATATCAAGTAAAGTGAATTTTTTGTCAAAGTAAAATCTAGTCGAAATATTTGACTTGAGACGTAAAAGGTCTGCGCGTTTGTTTAAGTAATTGAAAAAAAAAAAAAACTGAAAAAAGAACAAAAAAAAAAATAACATTACAATTTACAAAATAATATATATATATATAACACGCAAGAACGAGATTATCAAGTGAAAATATTCCGACGTGAACACAAAGTAAGAAATACGAATTAAAAAGAGTATCCTTCTTGCGACAGATGAGGGGCCAAAACGCGTGATAGAAAATAAGATTATGTACCTATATTGGACGTAGGTTTGTAAAAAACAAAAAAAAAATAAAATAAAAAGAATAGTATCGGATCGCACGATTGAAAAAAAAAATTTATAATATATATATATATGTATATGCAAAAGTTGAGTGGAAAAAAAATGAATATTTCCGATAAATCCTTTCGATAATTTTTAACATCATCCTCTCGAATAATTTTCGTGAGTGTACGATCATTATTATTATTATTATTATTATTATTATTATTATTATTATTATTATTATTATTATTATTATTATTATTATTATTATTATTATCTTAAGTAAATAGAAAAACTTTTATCAATTTTATAATTAAACGAACGCGATCCGATATTTTTCTCTCTTTTTCTCTCTAATTCGCGTTAAATAAAAAAAAATCGACGACGGTACAGGCCTTTTCCTATGCGATGCTAAAATTTTGACCAAAAAAAAAAATAATTTGAAAGATGACACAAATTATACAATACTTTAGGACGTTTTTTCCGCATACGTACAAATTATATACGCTTTCATTTTAATTACGATTAATGTATAATAATATCTCATTATTATTATTATTATTATTATTATTATTATTATTATTATTGTCATTAATATTAATACTTAATTATTAATATTAGTGTATGAAAACTCAAAAAAAGAAAAATAATTGTAGAAGAAAGAGGATGATTATTATAATTTGTTTTTTTTTTTTGCCGAATCTTGACGATTTTTAAAAGAGAAAAAAAAAGCTAGCTTCGTATAATTATAATAATTAAATAATACTCGACCAATAAAATTAAATACTTGAACTAAGCATACATTGACGTAAATGTACACAATAAATTACGTCTAACTCGGGGGAATCACTTTTTCTTTTCTTTTTTTTTTTTGTTGCTTTTTTCTAATATTTTACAACTTGGAAATAATACTTAAGCAAATTAACTTTTAAGTAAATGATGTTTGTTATTGACAACGTCGTCGATACGTCGTTGTTTCGACGTTATGCATTTGATATCTTTGCAAATTGGGATATTTTAACATTTAAAACTTCTGTAATTCATTTATTCAATGCAATTCGATACGATAAACATGTACATAAATCGTTCATTTCCGCACTGTATATGTTTGATGTGATGTGATTAATCAAAAAAAGAATATATATATAAAAAAAATATATATATATATTATCCAAAAATCATGTAAAATTAGCGCTGTATTCTCTATAATTCTACCGAGAAATAAAAATACTCGATTAGTTACAGATTCGATTTCAATTTTAACACATTGATTCTCATTATGATTCTCATTATGACATATGATACATACAGTCAGATTATTCCAATGCAAATGATAATTTGTTTTTCAATCATTCATTCATCTAATTTGAATTATATCTTTGTTTATTAATGTTCGTTGCAAAATAAATGAAACAAGGTATGCTGATTTAATCATATATCATGTTATATGACGATTAAATGTTTAATGGTAAGTATTTATCATCACGCAGTTGTTAAAGGAAGTCTTATCTTACAATAGCAGATTGTAGATGATCTGATAAATCGATTAGAGATTTGTAGGAATTGTTTTGTTGTTTCTTGACATTTAAAGAATGCATTCCAAAAGAAAAAGAAAAAATCCCATCAAACTACATACATATGTGAGACAGTATATTATTTTCCTTATCATAAATTTTTCTTAGAATAATTATCGTCCAATTAAAAATTTCCTTCTTATAAAATGCAATGAAAAAAAAAAAAAAAAAAAACAAGAAAAAAAAAGAAAAAAAAGAATGAATCGACTTTTTATTGATAGTGCAAACTAAATGATAAGGTATCGTGTAAATTTTTATATTTAGGTAGTATATTTATATAAGGTTTTTCCTAGGTGGTACATCAAACAAATTGCAAACATGTTGCGCTTACTTTGTATATGTTCGTTGTTATTTGCAACGGGTCTCGTCAATGGCGAGATTAAAAATAAAGGATGGTGGAAGAATGCAGTGTTTTATCAAATTTATCCCAGGAGTTTCATGGATTTGAACAACGATGGAATTGGTGATTTAAATGGTAAGAATTAATTCAAATTTGTTATGAAATGATTCAATAATTTTCCACACCCAAAACATCAATCATGATTGAAACTAAACAGGTATTACTTCGAAATTGGAACATTTCGTTGATGCTGGGGTTGATGGAATATGGTTATCACCCATTTATGCTAGTCCAATGGTAGATTTTGGTTACGACATATCAGATTTCAGAGCAATACATCCAGATTTTGGTACCATGAAAGATTTCGAAGCTTTGTTAGCAAAAGCAAAGAAACTTGGATTAAAGGTAGATGGTTTTTAATTGTCCTAAGTTCTAAAAAAATGGAAAATGAATATTATTCACGATAATTTGTTTATATTTCTCAGTTAGTTCTCGATCTCGTGCCAAATCATACGTCACATGAACACGAATGGTTCAAAAAGGCTTTAGCTGGTATCAAAAAATACAAGGATTATTATATTTGGAAAAAGGGACGAAAAAATGACGGTGTAACACCACCAAATAATTGGATCAGTGTTTTCAGTGGCCCTGCATGGACGTATAATGAAACCATGAAGGAATGGTATTTCCATCAATTCGAATACAGGCAACCAGATTTGAATTACAGTAATCCCGATGTGCGAGCTGAAATGGAAGTAAGTTGAACTCGAATTTTTGATTGAAAATCTTTCGATCATTCTTTTTTCTTTCATTTTTCGAATTGGAAACTTCATTAGAATCGAGGTGATATATTTTGCGGTTTATTTTTAGGAAGTCATACGATTTTGGTTACGTAAAGGTATTGATGGTTTTCGCGTTGACGCAGTTCCACATTTATTCGAAGTTGATGATCTTCGTGACGAGCCCAGAAGTTTTGATCCAACTACGACAGAACGCGATTATGCTTATTTAGATCATATTTATACTAAAGACGATCCAAGAACTTACGAATTAGTCCAAAGTTGGAGAAAAGTTCTCGATGATTATGCAAATGCCAATAACGAGGATGAAAAGGTACGAATACCTTTAATAAATTTGATTGAATGAACCAATCGTATGTTCGTACACGTTTTAGGTGATGATGACGGAAGCATATACCGATTTACAAAATACTACGAAATATTATGATTATGGTTCTCATATACCATTTAATTTCAAATTGATCACTGATGTCAATCACACCTCGAGTGCTACCGAATTTAAAGATACCATCGAATCATGGATTCGAGAAATGCCAAAGAATGGTGTTGCCAATTGGGTGGTAAGTTGATCAACATTACATAGTATAACTATTGTTAATAAATTATATATATTGTAATAAAATTTTTACGGGATTTAATATTATTTTATTTTAATATTTATATTTGTTACATTTTGTAAAAATATTTACTATTAAAAATTATAATTACTTTAATTATTATACTATTTATAGTTGGGAAACCACGATCGTAGTCGTACGATATCGCGTTATCCAAAAAGAGGTAATCAAATGCTTATGCTACCAATGATTTTACCTGGAGTTGCTGTAACTTATTATGGCGAAGAAATTGGTATGGTTGACAAAAGAGACATTTCATGGGAAGACACCCAAGATCCACAAGCTTGCAATGCCGGAAAAGACAAATATTCTGAACGATCTCGCGATCCTAATCGTACACCTTTCCAATGGGATTATACCGTTAATGCAGGTAAAAAAGAAATTATATAATTCACGAATTTCATTATCATCATTAAGTCAACAAATCAAATTGAATTTATTGTTTAATAGGTTTCAACAATGGTTCTAAAACGTGGCTTCCAGTTCATGAAAATTATAAAGTATTGAATTTATTAGATCAAACGAATTCTACCGATCAATCCTACTACAAAATTTATCGATCATTGATTAAATTACGCAAAACATCGCGAGTTCTTAAAGAAGGTTCATTAAAATTAAAAGTATTGAAATTGAACACAGATTATTGTTACAATTGTGAAGTATTATCTATAACTCGTGAAATTCCTGGTCAATCGATGACACTGTTAATGAGTTTCTCACCAGTTATAACAACTCATGTTAATTTGAACGACGTAATGACTCTTTATAACAATACGTATGTTGAAATCGATGCTTATCATACACAAAGGTATTTATTAAATAATTATTTTTTATTTAGACTATTAATATTGGTTAAAACCCTTTTCGTTACAGCATCATATGCATGAACGACGTATACGAAAAGGTTGACAATTTAAATAAATGATTTTTAAATATTATATTTTTTTTTATTTGCAGATATAAATTATATTTCAACTACGCATATATCGTTCCTTGGGAAGGAATTGTCATTTCATCTAGCAATTAAATTATTTATCAATACCGACAGTATTTTTATTATGTGAAATTATTGCATAATGTGTGTAACTTTTTAGTGATATAACTTAAATAAAATTTTATTAAAAAGGCAAACTAATTTTTTATTTAAATCCGGAAAGTATAGTGGTCATTATCATAACAAAAAATAGCCAATCTAATGTTTAGAAATTTATAATTGCAATAATACGAATACTACAAATTGTGTAATACACTGTAACATGATCATTCAATTAACACAAATAAAAATTCAATCGTATTGCTGATAATTATCAGACTCTCCATGGTATTTGATCAAAATCAATATTTATTTCGCATGTTCCTTATCGATCAAATCTTTTTGAGTAGCCAATATTTCTTTTGATCGTGCAAAAAGATAATTCATTTGAAAATAAATAATAATTGGTTGTGATTCACGTAGTATCAACGTGCATGCCTTTGACTTTGAAACAGTGGAAAAGGTCAACAAGTCATACAATTTATAAAATACGCCTTAGGAATTATTTTTCAATCTTCAAATATAATTATTCTCGTGTGATAGAATTATTTAATAAATATTGCAATATAATTTATTACAATAAACATATATTACCATATTTCCCATGTATTTTCAAATGTTATCTTAATTTTATTTAAAAGCTAATAATTTCTATTTGTTTTTTAGTTATTTAGTTTTTATAGTCTTCAATAAATATAAAATATATTTTATCTTTTATGATTCCTATGTAGGATAGCTGTTCCTATGGGGGTTTTTACATGATAGACACATATTTGAGATTACAAAAATAAAAAAAGTTAAAATTTGTTACATATATTTATGTTTTTTTTTATATTATTCTCTTCACCATCAATAAAAATTTAATTAAATTATTAAATAATTAAATTATATTTTTAATAAACTTAAATTTGCAATATTTAGATTTGATTTTTATATATAATTTTTCTTCCAAATATATGTATATGTATATTTGTTATGTAACAAATATAATTAATTTGTATACAGAATAAGTTAGGTTACTATAATACAATGGTTATCTTTCAGAATCTTTTTTTTTGTGTACAAATTTCACGATTAAAATGATAATCGATTAATACATGAAGTAGGGTACTTTTATTTAATCATCATTCCAAAGAGATAAACGTATCATAATAAGTACGTGTTGTCATATGGAATGTAATAAAGATTATTTTAATCAAGGTTTTTGATACGTTGTTCGATTAAATGAAAGATATTACAAAATGTTCACTTTTGTTTGTTTATTGTTTATTCCATTTAGAATTAAATAAACTATAACTTTTTGTAAATAATCGATAATCTTCTCGTATTAATTGAAAACTATAATGTTAACAATATTTAAGAAAAAAATCAAGAAAAATTTAGGCTATATATTATTTACAAAAAAAAAAATTAATTAGATCTTTTTAATATCGTCAAAATCATTGATAAAAGATAGCTTATCAGAAAATTCAATAATTTAGTGGTACATTTATAAGGAAGATCTTTCCAGGTAGTGCATTACAGTTGCAAACATGTTTCGTTTGGTCAGCTTATGTACATTATTGTTCGTAATAAGTTTCGTCAATGGCGAAATCAAAAATAAAGTATGGTGGAAGAATGCAGTATTCTATCAAATCTATCCACGAAGTTTCATGGATTCCAATGGTGATGGAATCGGTGATTTAAATGGTAAGATTTTTCTGAATAAATTCAATCATTTAATTTATCTCAACCATCATTGTGATTGGCAATTAAACAGGTATTGCATCAAAATTGGAACATTTCGTTGAAACTGGGATTGATGGAATATGGATTTCACCAATTTATGCTAGTCCAATGGTAGATTTTGGTTACGACATATCCAATTTCAAAGCAATACATCCAGATTATGGTACCATGCAAGATTTCGATGCAATGGTCGCAAAAGCAAAGAAACTTGGATTAAGAGTATGATCATTTCAGATGGTTTTTCTTTGTAATACTGTCCTAAGTTTTTCTAAATTCATTTTGTTGATATTTTAAGGATAATTTGTTTAATTTTCACAGGTAATTCTTGATTTCGTACCGAATCATACGTCAGATAAACACGAATGGTTTCAAAAGGCTTTAGCTGGTGTAAAAAAATACAAGGATTATTATATTTGGAGAAAAGGACGTAATAATGATGGTTCAATGCCACCAAACAATTGGATTAGTCGATTCAGTGGTCCAGCTTGGACTTATGATAAAACCATGAACGAATGGTATTTACATCAATTCGAATACAGACAACCAGATTTAAATTACAATAATCCCGAAGTTTGTGCTGAAATGGATGTAAGTTACAATTATCAAATTAAAAATTAGCAATTTTCAATTGAAAATAATCATTTTTATTTTGTTTCTAGGAAGTGCTTCGATTTTGGCTACGTAAAGGTGTTGATGGTTTTCGAGTGGATGCCATTCCTTTTCTTTTCGAGCGTGATGATCTTCGCGATGAACCTAGAAGCTTTAACCCAGATACCACCACTCGAGATTATGGTTACTTAAATCACATTTATACCATTGACGATCAACGAACCTATGATATGGTAAAAAGTTGGAGAAAAGTTCTCGATGATTATGCCAATGCCAATAATTCGGATGAAAAGGTACGAATATATTTAAAAAAAATTTTTTAAATATTACTATTACTATATCTACTTGTATGGTTGTTTGTAAAAAGAAAAAACAGGGAGTTAGTAATTGGTGATAAACCAAACGAATGAAAGAAACAAAAATTAAATTAAATAAAAATGAACAGTCCCTTCACCAAAGATGTAATTTGAATTAGTTTTTTTCTGTATTTTATTTTTATACTTGTAGTTGTGTGTAAGATGTTATCACAACAAGTTTTTGTGTATTTTTGTATTTTGTAATCATTTAAGGTGTGCCTTTTTTTTTATCTGAAGGTCTTATATTTGTGGGTGTGTTCATCTTTCAATTAATGAATTGTTTTTTTGATTCGACAAACATTCTACTTAAGCAAGTATATCAAAACGTAAAATAACTAATCAAATATTTGTACACGTTTCTAAGGTGATAATGACCGAAGCTTATACTAATCTAAAAAATACTACGAAATATTATCAGTATGGCGCTCAAATACCATTTAATTTTCAATTGATCTCGGACATCAATCAAAATTCAAAAGCAGATGATTTTAAAAGAATTATCGAACAATGGATGGAACATACTCCAAAGAATGGAGTTGCAAATTGGGTGGTAAGATGAAATATCCTGTTATAATTTTTTATAATTGTTAAACAAATTATCTGGTAATATAATTATTTTAATTATAGTTGGGAAATCACGATAATAGTCGTGTTGGGTCACGTTTTCCAAATAGGACTATGCAATTGAATATGATGACGATGATTTTGCCAGGAGTTGGTGTAACTTATTATGGTGAAGAAATTGGAATGGTTGACAAAAGGGACATATCCTGGGAAGATACGAAGGATCCACAAGCTTGTAATGCTGGAAAGGACAAATACAAATATGAATCTCGTGATCCAGCACGTACACCCTTTCAATGGGACAATAGCAGAAATGCTGGTAAGATTTGAATTTGGATTGAATTAGGATTACGTCTTGATTATATTACAAATAATTAATTTATTGGCAGGATTCAGTAAAGCTAATCGAACGTGGATACCTGTACATGAAAATTACAAAAGATTGAATTTATTAAATCAAAAGAATTCTAAAGAACAATCGCTTTACAAGATATATCAATCTTTGATTAAATTGCGCAAAACATCGAGTGCTATTAAAAATGGTTCATTGAAGGTAAATGTGTTGAAGCTTAACACGGATTATTGTTATAATTGCGAGGTATTAGCTATCAATCGAGAAGTACCTGGAGAATCAGTAACTTTATTAATGAGTTTCTCACCTGTGATAACAACTCGTGTTAATTTGAAGGATGTAATGACCCTTTATAACAATACCTACGTTGAAATCGATGCATATCATACTAAAAGGTATTTAAATAAATAATCATATTTTTTTATTTGGATTGTTATTATATTTATGATTTAAAAAAAGTTTAACTCACTTCAAATCTAATTTTTTCATTTGCAGATTTAAAAAATCTCACAATTTCGCATATCTTGCACCTTGGCAAGCAATGATCTTATCATCTAGCAATTAAATTTAATAAACCAATTTATATATATATATATATATATATTGGATGTTTTATATGCAAAATTTTAAATTGGATTTTTAACGAAATGCAGTACGAGGGTCGTAAAACGAATGATCTTGTATAAAAATTTGTAACAGTAGGAAAACTACATAAATAAAAGGAACTTTACTATCCAATTGACGCATAGAAAAATCCTATCTCGTTGCTGATAATTATCTACTCTCCCGTTGTATTTTATCGTTCAATATTTATTTCTCTTATTCCTTATCGATAAAATCTTTTTGTGTATTGAATATTTCTTTTTCTTATACAGTATGACAAATAAAATAAAAATAAGTAATATGTAAGTAATAAACGTGCATGTCTTGGAATTTAAAAAGATAATATTCATTTAGTATACCTTTATGAAGTCCTAACTTCTTTTATTCATATGATAAAATTATTTAATAAATACTGTAACATGTATAATGTATAATTTATTATAATAAACGAAACTATATACATATATTGCTATATTCCTATATTTTTAAATATAATATTAATTTTATTTAAAAGCAAATACTTGATTACTAATCAGTATAATTTTTCTTGCAAATATATATGTATATTTTTGATTTAATAATTATAATCACCTTGTATAAAGAATAAGTTTGATTACTAAAAATTAAATCTGTAAAGTAAAGTACTTGTATTTAATCATCATTTTGAAGATAAACGTGTCATAATAAATAGGTGTTGTTACGTAATCTAATCAAGATTATTTTAATCAAGGTTCGATACGTTGTCTGATCGAACGAAAAAATATATCACAAAAATCTTTGTAATTCCTTTCTATTAAAGTATAAAATAATTATTGATGTAGGGTTTGTGTCTAATAATTTTTCTATTTAAGAAAATAATGTAATCTTTGAAACGAATGAAAAACATTGTTCTAAATATTTGTTTGTTTTTTTAAAATTTAGGCTAACTTAATTACGAAAAATTATCAGGTCATTTTGATAGCACTAAGTTATTGATAACTTATCAGTAAATTCAACATTTTAGGAGTATATTTATATGGAAGATCATCTTCAGTAGTAGTTCATGAGACTGTTGCAAATCATGTTACGCGTGGTCTACTTTTGTGCTTTGTTGTTGGCAACGGGTTTCGTCAATGGCGAAATCAAAAATAAATATTGGTGGAAAAATGCAGTATTCTATCAAATCTATCCACGAAGTTTCATGGATTCCAATGGTGATGGAATCGGTGATTTAAATGGTAAGATTTTACTGAATAATTTCAATCATTTATTTCATCTCAAACATCATTGTGATTGGCAATTAAACAGGTATTACATCAAAATTGGAACATTTCGTTGACGCTGGTATTGAAGCAATATGGCTTTCACCTATTTTTCCTAGCCCAATGATTGATTTTGGTTACGACGTATCAGATTTCAAAGCAATACATCCAGATTATGGTACCATGCAAGATTTCGATGCAATGGTCGAAAAAGCGAAGAAACTTGGATTAAGAGTATGATCATTTCTTATGATTTTTCTTTGTAATATTGTCCTAAGTTTTTCTAAATTCATTTTGTAGATTTTATATGGATAATTTGTTTATCTTTCACAGGTAATTCTTGATTTCGTACCAAATCATACGTCAGATAAACACGAATGGTTTCAAAAAGCTTTAGCTGGGGAACAAAAATACAAGGATTATTATATTTGGAAGAAGGGAAGAAAAAATGACGGTGTAACACCACCAAATAATTGGATCAGTGTTTTCAGTGGTCCTGCATGGACGTATAATGAAACCATGAACGAATGGTATTTCCATCAGTTCGAGTATAGACAACCAGATTTAAATTTTAACAATGTCGATGTCAGAAAGGAAATGGAAGTAAGTTGGATTGTCAATTCTTAAGTTTTATTTGCAATTGCAATTGCATTATCATATTTTTTACCTACTTTGTTTATTTTTTTATGTGTAGGAAATTCTTTTATTTTGGCTTCGTAAAGGTGTAGATGGTTTCCGAGTAGACGCCATACCACATTTATTCGAACGAGACGATTTGCGTGATGAACCTAGAAGCCATATACCAAATACCACAACTCGTGATTATGGTTATTTAGATCACATTTATACAAAAGACGATCCAAGAACTTATGGATTAGTCCAAAGCTGGAGAGACGTTCTTGACGATTATGCCGATGAAAATAACGTGGATGAAAAGGTATGAATATAATCATGAAAAACCTTTCAATTCATTTGTTAACTCATATTTTTGGGAACTTGTTTTAGGTCGTGATGACTGAAGCTTATACCAATTTAAAAAATACAATCAAATATTACTACAATGGTGCACAAATTCCATTTAATTTTTACTTTATCTCTGATATCAATCGTTACTCGAAAGCAGATGATTATAAAAGAATTATCGATGGGTGGATGTCAAATATTCCAGAGGGTTGTATTGCCAATTGGGTGGTAAGATGATCTCCTATTATTATTTAACGATTATGTAACAAAATATCTCCTAATTCTACGATAATTTTTGTTTAGTTGGGAAATCACGATAATAGTCGTGTAGCTTCACGTTTCCCAAATAGAGCTATGCAAATGAATATGTTGACCATGATTTTACCTGGAGTTGCTGTAACATATTACGGTGAAGAAATTGAAATGGTTGACAAAAGGGACATATCCTGGGAAGATACGCAGGATCCACAAGCTTGCAATGTTGGAAAGGACAAGTACAAAGGTGCATCACGTGATCCAACTCGTACACCTTTTCAATGGAACGATAGGAAAAATGCTGGTAAATATTTTAAATATTAGGATTAAATCTTTAAAATATTACAAATGATTAATTTATCGAATTGATTGACTGACAGGATTCAGCACTGCTAATAAAACTTGGCTTCCTGTTCATGATAATTATAAATATTTAAATTTGGAAAGTCAGAAGAACAGTTCAGAAGTCACCCCTTATAAAATGTATCAAAATTTGATTAAATTGCGTAAAACATCGAGTGCTCTTCAGAGAGGTTTATTAAAAGTTAAAGTTTTGAAGCTTTACACAGAATATTGTTACAATTGCGAAGTATTATCTGTCACTCGAGAAGTACCTGGAGAATCGGTTACTTTATTAATGAGTTTCTCACCTGTGATAACAACTCGAGTTAATTTGAAAGATGTTATGACCCTTTATAACAATACCTACATTGAAATTGATGCTTATCATACACAAAGGTATTTATTTTAAGTAATCGTACTTTGTTATTTGGGTTATTAATATTTGTAATTTTTTCGTTACAATGCAGTAATGAAATTTCAAATTTTATTTTATTTTATTCACAGATTTAAAAAATCTCGCAATTTTGTGTATCTTGCACCTTGGGAAGGAATGGTCTTATCATCTAGCAAATAATGTTAATGAAAAAATAATAGACAGTATTGGAATTTTATACTCCCAAGATTTTTAATTGGATCTTTAACGAAATGAAACAGTGGTCGAGAGAGGAACGATCTTGTTTAAAAAAATTTGTAATAGTAGGAAAATTACATATAACAATAAAAAGTAACTTGACTATCTAATGAATACAAATAAAATTTTCTATCGCATTGCTGATAATTATCAACTCTTGGATGTATTTTATCATATCAATATTTATTTCATTATTGTTACTTATAGATAAAATCTCTTTGAGTATTTAATATTTCTTTTGCTCTTATAAAATGATAAATTAATTAAAAAGAAATATGTTTGTAAAAAACGTGCATGGGTTGGACTTTGAAGCAGCTTAATAAATGGTTGTAATATTCATTTAGTATGCACGTGTATGAAGTTCTAACTTTCTTTTAGATATAATAATCCTCATGATAGAAATATTTAATAAATGTTGTAATATATAAATGTATAATTTGTTACAATAAATGAAACCTTTACTAGTATATTTCTTCGTGTAACTTTTAATGTGATGTTTAAGTTACTTAAAAATTTGTTCTTTAAAACTTAGTACTTAAAAAAGAACCTTTGTGAATATTAATTTTATTTTAATATAAGAAATAAACGTTTTATTTAATTAAAAAAATTTATCAGATCCTTTTTGTGATAGCGTTAAGTTATTGATAAACGATAACTTATCGTAAACTTCAATATATATCCGGAGTAGATTAATATAAAAGTTGTTTTCCAGTAGTGCATACATCGTAGTTGCAAAAAACATGTTACGCGTAGTTAGCTTTTGTTCATTGTTGTTTGCAACAAGTCTCGTCAATGGCGAGATCAAAAATATAGGATGGTGGAAAAATGCAGTATTCTATCAAATCTATCCACGAAGTTTTATGGATTCGAACGATGATGGTATTGGTGATTTGAATGGTAAAAATTAATTCAAACTTATTCTATGAAAAGATTTGATAATTTTTCTTTATCAAACATACATCTTGATTGAAACTGAACAGGTATTACTTCGAAGTTGGAACATCTTTTTGATGCTGGGGTTGATGGAATATGGCTTTCACCAATTTATGCGAGTCCAATGATTGATTTTGGTTACGACATATCGAATTTCAAAGCAATACATCCAGATTTTGGTACTATGCAAGATTTTGAAGCATTAATTGATAAATCCAGACAACTTGGAATAAGAGTAAGATGATTTTTTCCTTTTTTTTAATAATGTTATAAATTATTCTAAGTTTCTGTTTTTGATTAAACATTTTCACGAATAATTTGTTTATATTTTTTAGTTAATTCTCGATCTTGTACCAAATCATACGTCAGATAAACACGAATGGTTTCAAAAGTTTCTCGCTGGGGATAAAAAGTACAAGGATTATTATATCTGGAAAAAAGGACGAAAAGACGATGGTATAACTCCACCAAACAATTGGATCAGTGCTTTTAGTGGTCCTGCATGGACATATAATAAAACTTTGAAGGAGTGGTATTTCCATCAATTCGAATATAGACAACCAGATTTGAATTATAGCAATCCTCAAGTGCGTGCCGAAATGGAAGTAAGTTATATTATCAAATATTTTATTATTATCATATATGTATTTGTTTGTCTGTGACTGCATACTACGAAATTTATTAATTACAAAATTAAAGTTTAATTTTTATAATTATTAATAAAAATGAGCGCCTGTAGGAGTGCAACTGTCCGGACACACTTTGAACATGTTGCTTGAGAGCGAGATCTGTTGAGACGGCATTTTTTTCAGTCTAAACTGTTTATACAAGCGTGTGTTACGGATTGCCTATCTGTCGGGCAGAAAAAAAAGTTCCGTTCTAACAAATGGCGATTGCAAGCAACATTTTCAAAGTGTGTCTGGCGGGTTGCATACTTACAGGCGCAAATTTTTATAATTGAAGTGAAAACTTCTTTAGAATGGGAGTGATCTGAAAAGTAAATAAACGGTAACGCAGCTATGAAACGAAGCTATGTAACGAAGCTGTATAACGAAGCTATGTAACGAAGCTATGTAACGAAGCTATGAAACAGCTGCTATACTAAATAATGAAAGAAAAAGAGACAAACATTTAGGATTTAGCCTGCGAGAGAATGAGACGGAATATAGCTATACAGTTTTTCCTATTCTCGGTCTCCTCTTTATGCTATGYTTCGTAGTTATCGCTCCTGGTTTTATATGTGTGTGTTTGTGCGCGACTACATACTACAAAACGTGGACACGTATTCTTTCGATACTCGAAATGTTTGTAGGTACGAGCGATAGAAAGGTAAAAAAATAAACAGGGATAAGCACGTAGGTATGCGACAAAAGTATAAGGTCTAAACCAACCGACGGTCGAAATAAAGAAAGAAGGTGCGTGGTCTGTTTTTTTTTACAAAACGTGTCATTTCTTTTCTATTTAAAAATGTTTCTATTTTATTAAAAAATTAATATTAAATTATTTATTTCGCACATATTGTAATTACCAATTACGAAATATATAGAATATAATAATATTATTGTCTGCAATATTTTACAAAAAAATGAAATGATTATCAGATACATCAGAGAAAAAAAATTAAACAACATTGTAGAATATTTTTCTTATAAATATCCAAAGACATGTTTTTTAGTTATAATGTTTGCGTATTTAGGAAATTTATACTAATTTTTCAATAAACTAGAAAAGTTTTTAAATAGAAGAAACTAGACACGTTAAAAAAACAAATAAACCTTATTTACTTTATATTTCCAATAAGAATAAAATAATATAAGTTATTTTACAAATATAGAAAAAAAAATATAGAAAGTAAATTTAAAAAAAATTTTTAATATTATAAAATAAAACAACGAAAATAGAAATAGATTTTGAAGGTTTCACTTCTAACACGTGTGATCTGCACACATGATTTTTTATTTAAATAAATAATTGCAAAAAAATCATGTGTGCAGATCACATTTATTGGAAGTAAAACTTTCAAAAAACTAAGTTTCGAGAGAATGAGACGAATGCAGAAACAGTTTCAAGAATAAGATAATTTTAGGATTTATTTATTTTAATATTATTACCATATATAGCAAAGTCACTGGTATGGTTTCTGAGTGGAATAGCTGATAAAAAGTACACTTTTCCAAATTCAAGCAATAAAAATGGAATGCTAAATGCGATAGTTATAAATAAACACCAAAATCGTAGGATGTTTTCATTGAGGGAAATATAATTCATCGTAAATTAAGTACTTAAATATAAAATATTCTTTTTGTGAAACTCAGGTACAAAATTTTTTTTGTTAGTATAGTTTTTAATCTCATCTACATTCTTCTATTCTTGTAGAATAGAACTTGTGTTCTTCTGTTCTAAATCTTCATCTACATTCTTGCGCTGTCTAACAAACATTTTAGGATAAACGAAATAAAGACGTTACGAAAAACATATGGAAGATATTGCTGGACTGAACGAAGGTTCTGATATAAATGCAATAAGAGATCTAATAGAGATATTTTCTAGAAATGCTTTTTTAACTGCATAGCCTGCACACTTCTCTCTGTCGAGACCCTTATTATTTATAACAAATCTCGTTTTTATTTTTTGAACCACAAACTTATATTCTCTAAATACTCTCGTCTAAATAAAGATCTGAACAACGAAAACTTTTTATAGAACGCATTGAATCGTATCGCTCTCTCAGCTTATCGAACTGTGTAAACAAAGATTCTCGAATTTGGGCCCCGTGGTAAACTCCACTGATTCACGCTGGGCGTTCAGCGTGTTAAAAATGTTTTTATTTGATTAAAAAATTAACGTAAATTTATTTACTAAGTAAATATTATAATAATATAATTTTTTTTTGTATTCCTGGGTCAATACAAGTCCTTGTCTATTTTTTTTCTTAAAACATAAAAATCAAATTCAATAGACATATTTTAATCTTAATGAATCGAATATATTTTATGAAGAAGGAAAATAAAAATGTGATAGTAATTTACTTACTTTTGAATGGGCGAGTTTAGGTTACGAGTTTAGATCGATATGCGCTACGTTACAGCTGTCGTTAATGTAAGATTTAAAGATATATATATATATACCTTCCAGACTCACACAGACTTACACACTCACACAACTTACAAATCCAGATTACACACCTTCTTTCTTTATTTTGATCATCGGTTCGTTTGTACCTTATTCTTTTATCGCCTATACGCTTATCTTTATTTATTCTTCTACCCTTCTGTCGCTCCTATCTACAAACAGGTTTAATATCGAAATTATATGTCGCACACAAACAAACACATATACAACCAGGAGCGATAACTACGAATCAGAGCATAAAGAGGAAAACGATAATAGGAAAAATTATATAGCTATATTCTGTCTCATTCTCTCGCAGGCTCAATGTTTGTCTTTTTTTCTCTTCTTATTTAGTATAGTGGCCGTTTCATCACCGCGTCCCCAATCGCGAATTAAGGTGATTTTTTATTTTATTTTTTATTTCTAGGAAATCATAAGATTCTGGCTTCGCAAAGGTATCGATGGTTTTCGTGTTGATTCCGTTCCCCATTTATTCGAACGTGATGATCTCCGTGATGAGCCTAGAAGTTTTATTCCAAATACAACGACTCGTGATTATGCATATTTAGATCATATTTACACCAAAGACGATCCGAGAACTTACGACTTAGTAAAAAGCTGGAGAAAAGTTCTCGATGATTATGCCAATGCCAATAACGAAGATGAAAAGGTACGAATACATTTTAGAAATTTTTTCTCAATTTCATAATAATATTTCTTGAACATTTTGTTAGATTTTGATGACTGAAGCTTATACCAACATAAAAAATACTACGAAATATTATCAATATGGTGTTCATGTACCATTCAATTTTAAACTGATCACTGATGTCAATCACACTTCGAGTGCTACCGAATTTAAAAGAATCATTGAAGAATGGATGGAACATACACCAAAGAATGGAGTTGCAAATTGGGTGGTAAGCTGATATATCCTTTTATGATTTTTAACAATTATTTACAAATTATCTGGTAATTAAATTATTTTATTTATAGATGGGTAATCACGATAATAGTCGTGTAGCTTCACGTTTCCCAAATAGAGCTATGCAAATGAATATGTTAATAATGATGTTACCTGGAGTTGCTGTAACTTATTACGGTGAAGAAATTGGAATGATTGACAAAAAGGATATATCCTGGGAAGACACACAGGATCCACAAGCTTGCAATGCTGGAAAAGACAAATACCAGAATCAATCCCGCGATCCTTTTCGTACACCTTTTCAATGGGACAAAAGTAAAAACGCTGGTTAGTATTTTAAGTATCACAATTTTATCTTGAACATATTATCATAAACATAATTTATGAAATTTGATTAATCAAATAGGATTTAGTAATGCCAATCATACCTGGCTTCCTATTCATGATATGTATAAAAGGATTAATTTAATAAGTCAGAAGAACAGCACTCAATCGACCCTTTACAAGATGTATCGATCCTTAATCAAATTGCGAAGCACATTTCGTGCACTAAAGGATGGTGCGTTGAAAGTTAAAGCACTTAAGCTTTACACAAGTTATTGTTATAACTGCGAAGCATTAGTTGTCGTTCGTGAACTTCCTGGTGAAACTGTGGCTCTAGTTATGAGTATGTCACCTGTTAGAAACATTCTTGTTAACTTGAAAGACCATATGACCCTTTACAATACCACATACGTCGAAGTTGATCTTTATCACAATGGCAGGTAATTTAACATCCATTCAATTTGATTTTTATGTTAGATAATTCAAATTATGTGGTTTTTTTATGTTTATAGATATAGAACGTATTCTCATCATGTGTATCTTCAAGCTTGGAAATCAGTCGTCATATCATCGTTTAATTAGATTCAGTTGTTGACAATTTAGAGATCAAATTTGATTTTACTATTCAAGAGATCTTTTCATAATTAAGGATAATTTCAGTGACGTAAAACCTTTAAACTAATGTTTCTATTGACGTCACAGTTATTAGGAAACAAACAAACATTTATTTATAAATAATGACTCGAACATTTTTTTTTTTATAAATTATTAAGTGTTGAAATTTTATTGTAAAAAATATTCCTTCTTCGTACGATCATCTTTCGATAAGAGTAATATTATTTACTCGTAAAAATTATTTTATTAATTCGTCCTGTAGATCTTATACGACACATGCGGGCTGTGGTAAAAAAGAAACATAATTTAAGTATAAGAATAAAATTTTTTTTATCAACGGTTGGTACGATATCGACTGTCAATTTTCTAACATAAATATATGAACAATTTTGCCACTCGATGTCTCCAGTATCTATTTTTCTCTATATGTTGGTAAAAGAAGATCATTGTGTTTATTGATCGGAAAGAAACGCATGCGCATCACTTAATCGGATCACATGTGGGAATCGTAACGCAAGCAAGTAAGCAAGGCATCATTGATAAAAACGTAAGCAACTGCAACGCGTTGCGTGCTGCAAATCAACTCTACCTATATATACCTATATATATATATATATCTGTTCGAAAGATTTTTAGATCATTCATATGCGTTTCCAAAAAAAAAGAAAAAAAAGAAGAAAAAAAAATTGAAATAATTTAAACAATTAAATTAAATGTACGATTATTCTTTGTAAATAATAATTCGCGATTAGTTGTAATTTTAAAACGTTTACAAGATTTATTCTAACGTTTGTTAAAATATTCTCATATATTCATCGAAGTGTCCATTTGGTGGTGTTTTTTATTTAAACAATAATTCGAACGATGTAATTTCGTTTGATTGAAATAATTTCAAGAAAGTTTGAAGAAGATACAAGTGTTTGTGACCACGTTGAAAATTCTAATTAATAATAAAAGGGTAAGTGTATTTAATTATATTTCTTTTTTATATTACATATGTTATCAATAGAACAGTTCATTGTAGTTAACTTTAAATTATTTTGATAACGTTTGTTGAAACGATTGTTCCGAATAGAGGCCAATAGCTGCATATAAAATTAAAACAAGTTAGAGAGAGAGAGAGAGAGAGAGAGAGAGAGAAAGAAAGAAAAATAGAGTAAAGGTGAAATTGATTTTGCGAGTACCCGCATGATGAATAAAAAAAAAAAGAATGTGACATGTACATAGATAAAAACTGCATTGCGGTTAACTTACTTTACTATTTCTGTATACGATACGTTTACTTACATTCAATATTACGAGTACGTGTCAATGTACTTTATTTTACCAGCATTTATTTAATCGGCTATATTTATTATTCATTTTTAATCAAACATCTGTTTAACAATTTATTACAAATGAAATAAGCAAGTATTATATCAATTATGTTTGTTATATTATTCAATACGATTTTATTTTTTATTTTCTTTATAAAAAGGATCATTTTTTAATCGATAATAATTATTTTATTTTGCACGATTATTATTTTATATATGTGCACGATAGAAGGATAATATTTCAAGGACACATCGTATGTTTCAAATTATAAAATATTATTCGTTATCGTAAACGATAAATTATCATTTGGATAATGGAAATAATAGACACGAAGTCTTTTTGATAGTCGTGTGTGATAGATGAGAACATATGTGCCTTTTTTTTTTTTTATATTAATCCGAACATTTTTGCATCATTCTCGGTAACGAATGTTACGCTAATTTAACCTTCTTATCGCATCACAAGTGTACGATATATGAATGCAGGTAAAATCAATAATCTAAAGAAGTTGATACGTTTTGCATAAATGCTATGTTCTCATTTCTATCTTTCTATCTTTCCTTTAGTTTTTATTATTATACCAATTTTTAAATTATAAATGCTTGATAGTTAAATATTAAGATGTACACTTTAACTTTCTTTTTCTTTAACATAAGATCGTATCAAATTTATGCTGGTAGCTTATTAATAAACTTATCGCAAAAGGATATCCGTGGTGATTATAAATTTAAGAATTAAGTTGTAAAGTTAAATCTGGTTTAGGTTGATTAAATTAATTTATTTATTAACAAAACAAAAAAGATACTTTCAATGATAAAATTCATTAATAACAGTATTTTAAGATGAAGTATAACATTTGCTAATTCGATTGATATTGATTGATTATTACGTGTTAATTAATAATTATTTGAATAATATTAATGATCGTGTATATTTATAGATAAAACTCGAAATAGAGATACGTTTAAAATTTATCGTCGACGGGGAGGAAAGGTTTGAACAAATGCGTTTCACGATAAACCCCCTTTTCTCCTCACAACTTGATACGATATTTAATAAGTTTATTTTATTGATAATTCGATCGATTATTCGACATGCATTACTCTTGTGCAATATTTCATGCACTCTCATATAATGTGGCAAATTATTTTCCTACTTTCCTATATCTAATGATTTTCATAAATTTTTTCATTAAATATTATGTGGTTCTATTTATATTAAATATACTATATATTGCATATTCAGTTATGGTGAATTTGACGACATTAAAAATACCTTTCATTCATATATTCTTTTTTTTTCTACGGATATGCGTAAGTTTGAAATACGTGTAAACGTGTAAGTTGTAATTTATAGTTAACCAAGTTAAAGCTGACCCATATACACAGATTTACATAAATTCGAATTACAATTCGTATAT